CGTGGTGGCGAGTCTGGAACGGTGACGTCTGCAGTAGAATGTGTGGTTCTACACCACTTTGTGGTATATGGCATAATTTCAGGAGGATCCCACGTAAACACACAGCCTTGGCACTTCTTCAAAAAATAAATTAAGAACCAAGTTAAGTAAATTTGCTTCAGATTTAAAAAAAACAAAACTAAATAATTGTTTTAGAACAGAAACATCTATGTTGCAACGTTATATTAACATTCTGATTATTAAAAAAATGTAGAAATATATTTTTTTGCTATGTTAAACCATAAGAATTAATTACGGTTTGCTTTAACCTTTATTGCAAAATTTAAAACAGTGTTACAAAATAAAGATAAAAAGTAAACAAAATCAATTAAATATACAAAAATATTTCTAAACAAATTGAACAGTATATTTTATCTTTTTGTCTTAAAATTTCAAATATGAGTATTTGTGTTCCCAATAATCACATTTCATTTTTTTTAACCAAGCAAGTTTCCAAATAATAAACGTTATGGTCAAATATTTTTTTATTTGAGGTTTAAATCCTCCCAAATGTCTTATGTTAAATCCTCCCAAATGTCTTATGTTAAATCCTCCCAAATGTCTCATGTTAAATGACTTTACTCTATGTGATAGTCTCTAGAAGTGACTAATAATTTCTCTTGTTGCCCTTCGTCTTCAGGTGCTTCCTTTGTGACACCGTGGATTTTTCAGTGAAGATTTCGCTCTGGCTCTCTGGACAGACCTGGGGCGATTCTAGAATTTGACCTTCAGGGGTGCTTAGCCCCCAGCAGGGCTAAGACCCATGAGAAGATAGTCGTTCGTGTGTTTTCTAAATCTTAACTGTTTATTTACATACATTCACAAACAAAATTAAGAGACATGTCAGTAATTCATAGAATAGAAGAACAATGTTCATTTTACTCATATACTTATAAAGAGTCAAATCAGAGAACCTTAATTTTTTTTTCCAGAGGTGTAGGTACTCAGTTTGAAACAGAATCTCAAGACTACATTATACCTGACAACATCTGCCAGCATTAATGAGACACATGCAGCTGTGGAGTGACACACTCCTAGTGGGGTCTGCTCCCCTGGAAAATAAAATAAAATCTACTCACAACTATGCATTTCCAGTCTTTTGAAGAACATTTTACTAAAACCAGTTTATTAACAAGATAGAAGTTCAGGTAAATGACTCATGAAAACTAGTAATTAACTTGAACTTTATTTGAAAATTTTTACTTATAAATTGCATTACCCTTATTTTTATCTGAACATTATGTGCCTTTTGGCCTTTTTCTTTCAAGAAGAATGTTTGTCTATCTGTGGAAAAGTAGACATTGTGAGGTCATCCGCACAGACGGGGTCTCACTCCCAGAAGGAACAATAGCAGACATAGAGGACAGTTACAAGTACCTAGGTATACCACAAGCAAATGGCAACCTCGATGAGGTCACAAGGAAGGGAGCCACAGCTAAATACCTCCAACGAATAAGGCAAGTCCTGAGAAGCCAGCTCAATGGCAAGAACAAAATCCCTGCGATAAACAGCTATGCCTTGCCAGTGATCAGATACCATGCTGGAATAATTAGCTGGCCAAAGGAGGAGATAAAAGCCACAGATATTAAGACTAGAAAGCTACTAACAATGCATGGAGGGTTCCACCCCAAATCCAGCACCCTGAGACTGTACACGAGCCGCAAGGAAGGAGGCAGAGGACTAGTGAGTGTGAGAACCACTGTCCAGGATGAAACATCTAAGATCCATCGATACATCAGAGACAAAGCCTTAACAGACAAGGTGCTCAATGAATGTCTCAGACAGCTGGGAATTGAGGTTGAGGTGCCAGAGATACCATCATGGGAGGACAAGACCCTACATGGGATGTACCACCAGCAAATAACTGAAGTGGCTGATATCAGTAAATCCTACCAATGGCTGGAAAAAGCTGGACTCAAAGACAGCACAGAGGCCCTCATCCTGGCCGCTCAGGAACAGGCCCTAAACACCAGAGCAATAGAGGCCCAGATCTACCACACCAGACAAGACCCAAGGTGTAGGTTGTGCAAGGAGGCCCCTGAGACAGTCCAGCACATCACAGCAGTGTGCAAGATACTGGCAGGGAAAGCGTACATGGAACAACATAACCAAGTGGCAGGCATAGTGTACAGAAACATCTGTGCAGAATATGGACTGGAAACCCCGAGATCAAAGTGGGAAACACCCCCAAAGGTGGTGGAGAACTAAGCTAAGATCCTGTGGGACTTCCAGATCCAGACAGATAAAATGGTAATGGCGAACCAACCAGACATTGTCATGGTGGATAAACAACAGAGGAAAGCCGTTGTGGTAGATGTAGCAATACCAAGTGACTGCAACATCAGGAAAAAGGAGCACGAGAAACTGGAAAATACCAGGGCCTCAGGGAAGAACTGGAGAGGGCCTGGAAGGTGAAGACCACAGTGGTGCCTGTGGTCATCGGGGCCCTCGGGGCAGTAACCCCCAAACTGAAGCAACTATAATTTTTATTGTGAAGGTTTAAAAAAATATCAACCACTAAATATTTTAAAAAGACATTTAATTAGCATAATTTCTTCAGAACCCCTCTTGGCCCCTGTCTAGAACTGCCCCTGGTCTGCAGGTCTGGGTCTGGTGCATTTTTGCTCACTATGTTTTTTTCTTCATTGATAGGAAGTCAGGTTATCCAAACTGGTAAACAATATTAATAAAATGTTAATGAAGCAATACATTAAATACCACTGAACAACTTTTCATAAAATATATCAACATTTGTGAATAAAACACACAGAAAGTAATGTAATGTAGAAAATATTTATGAATTTCGTGTTAATCTATTAGTATGATTTGTTCTTTAACTGGTGTGGAGAATATAAGTTTGGTTAGCATAACTTTAGAGACAGTCAACCTTTGTGCATCTGAAATATTAGATGTGGCATGAACATTTTGAGTAGATTCTAAGTTAGGTAAACTTAGATAAAGATCCAAATTAAAACAACTGTTGACTCTCTGAACTCACATAAATTACTAAGGAAGGTCTTCAGAGAGGCACAGGGAGTCTGTCTCTTATCAGAATCAGTTAATTCTTTGGTGTTCGTTTGAAAGTTCAGTAAACACTAAAACTTTTAAGAAAAGTCTTCTACAAGTATCATCCAATGTATTAAGATAGTTCCCTTAAAGCATTAACAGCATGTTCTGAATTACTTAGTCTCTAACCATACTATTTGCATTCATTTTATATTACTGAAATACAATAGGAAACTATTTTACTTCTAAAATATTTCAGGTAATTCAAAAGAGCTTTTCTAAAAGTAGACAACCCGGCAGTTTTTTTATATCCAAACTCATAGTTATTATTTGGCATTAGATTTTTGTGCCAGTTTGTTGAAAATGGAAATCAGTTTACGTCTAGCTGCAGGTCATAAATTTTGGTTTGGAATGTAAAAAGGAGGAGACTGGTACAAGACGACTCTAGCGGAGAATGACCTTTGTTTTCTCCATATATTTGCTTTTGGGTTTTTTAGCAGGTCTCAAGCAGGGTAATAAAATTAATATTAAACACACCTTCTAATGCATATATTTAAATTAAGGGAATACACATCCTTACAAAAAGGTCTGTTTTACAGCAGAAAATCGAAATGCTTTGTGCCAGAGTGAGCAATGCCAAAAAATGCATTTTTGTCTTTCCTTTTCAACTCATTGCAGGTAATTCTATGTTTTGTCATGTGTTGGACTTCTTGATAAGCTGGGTGTAAATGCTAAGGTAACATTCTGTATGCACTGAATTCTCTGGATAAAGCTCTAGATAGGCCTATATCTGAAGTCTGATGTCGAATGATTGTTTCTTTATTATTTCCCCTGCACATGCTGAGTCCTGGATCTGGGAACTAGAGGAAAATTAGCGAGCCAAGTGAAGTTATTCCTCTAAGTTTTAACACTGGCCACTTATTTTGTCTAATGCTATGATTTATTAAATATCCAAACTCAACATCCTAAGCAATAATAATAATCGAAGTAAAACCTGCTAAAATCACAATAAGAAAATGAATCAATCATAGCAAAAATGTTCTGCACCATATCAGTCTCAGGAGATAATTGAGGATGAAGAGACGCTGATTTCTGGTTCTTTAGGTTCTGACGGGTCTGCGGTTCCTCTCCATTCTGTCTGTTACACAGCAGCAAACTACGCCATGACGGACACATTGTTTTTGACGATTGATATTCACAGTATCCATCCTCATGGAAATTCTTCAGCTTATAATGCGCGTCTTTTCACTCACGTCTTTATTTTGAAAGCGCTTTTTCTTCTAAGGATATGGAATCAGATCGAGGACGTTTTAAAAATGATAGCAGCTCATCGCGGCTGCGTAGTGACTGTCTCCCGGCAACCGTGACGTTCAGCGTCGGTAGTGACTATTGCTGATCTGAATATTCCCTGTGTTTTATTTTGGCAATTATTGTCAAACTTAGTGTTGATGTTTATTATAAGCCAGTCTATCGGACAGCTATGTATCGGTTCAATCCTAAAACTGGGCTGATGCCACTGATTTAGGTCTTATCCAGTAATCAAAACTAAATGAAGTTATGATGTGGTCTAGGAAAAGTCTGGACTAAATTCTAATTTACATTACATAATCAAATCTTAATTACATTAAGATTTATTGCCATAAATCTTAATGGCAATTTATTAAGATTTATTACATCTTAATAAATCACTTTTCTATCTATCTATCTATCTATCTATCTATCTATCTATCTATCTATCTATCTATCTATCTATCTATCTATCTATCTATCTATCTATCTATCTATCTATCTATCTATCTATCTATCTATCTATCTATCTATCTATCTATCTATCTATCTATCTATCTATCTATCTATCTATCTATCTATCTATCGCACTTCTAAATAAAGTTTCTTTAAAAAAAAATATATCTGCAGTCACCTGACAGCCACAGAACTACACAGGAAGAGGGTTCGTGACAATATGGCCGCCGCCTGCTAGTTTTCACCACATATCAGAAGCGTTTATATAGGCTGCTTTTAATCGAACCACCGGTTTAGTTTGGAAAAAAGGTTGCTTGTTATTCTAGTACGACATGGCTCAGTGTCTTCTGTCCGTACACGAATTCATTCAGGATTCGTTTGTCCCCAAGATAGCCGTGTTATGTAGCGCTGAAGCGGACAGAGTCACTCGAAAGAACAACTTAAATTTTGTAGAGCTGTTGAAGCCGTTCTGTCGATTGACATCGGAAGGTATGAGTCTGAAATCCTCTTCTTAGCTGTTGCACAAGCGGCTTTAGTGGAAAATTGTTTCCGAAGAACAGGATACGACCAACGGTAGCTGTACGCTAACACTGCATTAGCTTACCTGATTAACGAAGCCCGAGTCAGACAAGGCAGGAGGGTTCTGCCGGGTGCACTTTTGTGATCTGTAATGAGACTAAACATGATAGTAAGACTAATACAACGCTGCACATGTGCTGTATAATAGCATTTTCACTAAAGGAGAGTATACAGCACTGTGGAATTGATTTTATTAGATTCTAGCCGATAAATGTGTTTATAACAAACATTGTGGTTTGTTAAATTAGCAGTTAATCCTGAGAATGACCTGAAATTCTATAGAAATGGGTTCTTGTCAGTAAAACGTGAAAATTTATGCGAGTTATTTGCTGCTGCGGTCAGTTACTAGATTAACTACTATCAACAATACTAAGTATTTATCTGAATTCCTTAAGCTGCACTTTGCAATCAAAGTTTTCTCTGCAGGTACTGCATTGTGACATTAAATAAGCTGTCTGGTAAGCCATCAGACATTTAAATAGTGTTCAGCAAATCAATGGGAGTGTCTTTTGTTGAAAATATGTAAGATCCATTAAATATCTTCTGGAAACATTTTGAATTTTAAATGATTCTGTGTGGCTTCAGTTATGCTTTGTCAGAAAATTCTTCACCTGTTCTTTACAGCAGTGCTAACTTGTTTTCATCTAGTCATAAAGCTGCAATATTTGTAAATTTATTGGACTCTTTGTTTACTGGAATAGGCAGGTTATGTGTGTAAGTGCTGGTACCGTCTGTCAGGCTTATGTTATATAGGCCTCCAGATCCCTGGGGCTCATCCCATGCCTAGTTCTAGTTTAGGCCGCCTGGGGGAGCAATGGGCTTCCACGGTGCAATATTGTTAAAGTTATGTCAAGATAAGAGCCGGTAAAGAAAGAATGAACCAACCTACCGTGACGTTCAGCGTCACGGTAGGTTTTTTAGCAGGAGCCTCAAGGGAATCGGCAGCAGTGACTCATGATTTTGGGAGATCAGATTGAAGTGTTCTTTTCTTCAGGTCACATCCGGGATCCAAACAACCAGCTCCAGACTGTGAAGAACTTACGGATCTGTGTCAGCAATGTGGTGACCAGTCCCAGTCCACCTGCTTCTGACGGATCCTCCCAGAACCGTCTTCTCAGTGAAGTGGTGTTTTCCTGTCAGCCCCAGGAGGCTGCACAGGCCACTGCTTTGAGGACAGGAGACTATCATTTAAACTTAAATGGTAAGTTCAAGATATTCTGGTTTGTCTGTTTGGAGTTGTCAGGTTACAGGTACCTGATTTATCAAATATTCTAAAAATACACAAGCAAATCTTTCAGATGACTACAACAGTCTATCTAAGCTCTTTCTCATTATCTACATCCAGATGTTTTGTTACAGTAAATATAAAAAATGTTATGCTGGAGTCTGGCTAATGAATGATTTGTGTGTTTTTATGTTTTGTTTTTGCTGAAACTGTTTGTGTTTTAGTTACAACACCCTGGTTTGAAGCCTACAGGGAAAACTTCCTGCAGTCTATGCCTGCCTCTGACCATGAGTTCCTGAATCACTACCTGGCTTGTATCCTTTCTGCTTAACACTTTGTACCTGTCTAATATCTGTGTTGTCATAGTTTTCCAGCTTTAATATTACTCACCAATTAGATTATATTCTGATTTCCCATGTCTGTGTCAGAGGGTGAAATCTTATTTATTCCTAATGATCCACAGATTCCAAGAATAACGGTAGAGTTATTTGTTTTAAAAAAGCAATTATAAATACAATAAAAGGGGAAAGGAAAAAGTAAGGTATACATTTGTAAAACAAAACAATGTTTTATGTCCTTGACAAACTCCAGGCCTGCTGGTGGTGTCATCCACTGAGGCTGTTCCAGTGGAGCAGTTCCTCAAGCTTTCCCAGGAGCAGCACAAGATTCAGCACAGCGGAGAATACACTAACCCAAAGTGGTTTATTCCCAACACACTCAAGTATTATGTGTTACTGCATGACATGAACGAGGGAGATGAACAAAGGTACTATTTTATTAGAAAGAGTTTGGTATTATGATGAAAAGACATTTATGTGAACATGTATTATTTAAATGTTGCTACATCCCTGATGTCTTTTCCTCTCATCCTTGTCCTGTCGAGTTTATTTTATTATTTTTAGAAGTTGTGGAGTTCTCACTGTTTAGACCAGGGGTGCTCAATACATCGATCGCAATTTACCGGTCGATCGCGGGAAGGTTTTAAGTCGATCTCGGTAGTAAGTGACAAACCGAAGACCTCCAGGACACTGAGAGCAGCACTTCCCCTTCTAACAGGCTTATCAAAAATATTCACCAAGATCCAAAACGTTTGTAGCTTCATGAAAGAAAAATACATTTTACTAAATCAACAAAACAAGTTAAAATGAATCATCAGTAGTTATTGTTTCATGTTCTAGATGAAATTCATTTTTCATCAAAAAAAAAAAAAAGGGACCAAAAGACCAGATATAACAAAAGCACTTCAAATAAAAAATCAACCACGCTGTGTTCATGAGAGGCTTATTAATAATCAATAAATAAATATCAAGCCTGGAAACCTGCTATGGTAATGGACTGAATGTTTTATTTTTGCCATAATACCTGCTCGGCTTGAGGGGCGCAGGCAGTTGCCACGGCAATGTGTTTTTAACGATAAAGACAGAATTCAGAAGATTTGCCTTTACCTTTGCAGAGCTCTTTGGTTCCTCCTTTCAGTCTGTAGTTTCTCTTGTTGACGTCATCAAACTAAACTTCAGATCTACCAGAACTGACTGACACCTGCTGGCTTCAGGTTTGAGACTGAGAAACCAGTAACCTGCTCCCAGTGTCAGAATCTCACAGAGGAAGAAACTGCATTAGGTTTCTATCACTTTATCATTTCTGATATAACTGATGTATATTCATATAGAAAATGAGTCAATAGGGTTTAATTTACAATTTTTCTGTCTTCGTGTCATGAGGTAGATCTCAGCCGGCTGGTAAGAGAAAAAGTAGATCTTGGTCTCAAAAAGTTTAAGCACCCCTGATTCAGACCAATACTATACTTTTTAGATTATGCAGAGAAACTCCTTCTAGCTTATAAATTGTGAAGTACTTATAATTATCTTGCAACCAAGAAAAGGAATTAAAACAAACTTAGAATCCAGAGAAACTCATCTAGAGAAACTATTCACTACATTAAATCAACATTTAAGACAGTCTTTCCATGTGTGATTCACAGAATTTATGGAATTCATGGAATCAAACATGGAGAGCCAAAACTTTTATTACTTTAGACCAATATTTAGCTTATTATTCCAGAGAAACTCCTTATAGATTATGAAGTACTTATAACAGGAGCAACTAGTTTATATATTCAAGAACTAGAACAAACTTATAACCCAGAGAAACTCCTACGAACATATCTAGAGGAACTACTCATTGCATGAGATCAACTTTATCAGAATGATAATCTAGAGAAACCTTTACTAGCTCATAAATCATGGACTACTTATTCTTAAACATGGGATTATAGTTTTTTGTTTTCCTGTGAGGTTTTCCCACAAACCAACAGCAGGGACAGCTGTCACATTTCCTTTGTTTTTTCTTTCCTTTGGTTTGTTGTTTTGTTGTATTTCCTTCTAAATCATGTATTGCCTTATTGCTGAAAATGTGCTATATAAATAAAATTACCTTACATCATTAATGTATCAAATGATAATCCATGTTTGTATAGCAGTTGCATCCAACAATGGAAAAGTTTCCTGCTGGAAATTTTTTTTTTCATGTTGAAACTGATTTGGTAATTCTTAATTCTGAACATCAATTATGATGGATAACTTAATAGAGACGGGATATGTTGTTGTTTCATTGTTTTTCAGGGCTGAAATGGTTTATGAAGACATGAAGCAAAGGTATGGACCTCAGGGATGTTATCTGTTAAAGATCAACTCTCGTGCCTCTTCACCTGACGAGGACGAACAGATTCCAGACCCATGGAGTCAATACCTGCACAAGCAAAGTGTGTGGAACCAGGTTAGCAGTCTGTTGCTTAATTTGCTTACTCTACCTCAACCTACAATGCAACACAAGGGAAAGCGCTTGGCTCAGGTTTGCATTGTTCACCTAAAAGTTGTGTAGGATTGTGTTCCTCCTAAGCTATCTAATTCAGCTTTTTCATCTGTAGAGTGTCAGGCTCAATATGTGATTCGTACCGAATGACCCCCAAACACAGAAAACAATGTAACGGTTAAAAATATGGTAACAGTTATGTGGCCATAGAGGACAGCAGATGTAGAAATCCAGTTTGTAAACACAGATCATATCCAATCTTAATCTGCAAGTTATTAAACTATGTACACTGACACAGGGCATTTTTCTCAACATCCGTCCATTTTCTAACACCCTTGTCCTTGGGGTTGGCAGGGGTGCCGGTTCCTATCTCCAACTAACTTTCTGGGTGACAGGCGGGGTACACCCTGGACAGTCTGTCGCAGGGCAACACAGAGACAGACAGGAAAAGCAACCATGCGCACACCCTCACAGAGAATTTAGAGACCAATTAACCTGACAGTTATGTTTTTCCTGGACTGGGAATCAAACCCAGGACCTTCTTGCTGCAAGGCAACAATGCTACCAACTACCAGCCACTTTTTCTCAACATATGTGATCTAAGTCACAAATTCCTTGGAACATCACTCAGAAATAAATTTGTCTATTGATGAGCATGTTATTGTTTCAGACTTAGAAGTTAAACTTGAACAAGGCTACTCTCAAACCGAGACGTTTCAAATCTTCAGAATAAATTGTAATTTTTGACAGTACAGTTTGATATTTTGGCAGGTTTTTTACTAAAAGACTGCCAGTTAAAGAGAACCTCTCGCTGAGTTCTCTGGGGAAAGGAATATTTTGTACTGGGTTGCCATATATTTTGTGTAAATGTATCTTGTGATGCGCTTTACAGGAGGTGTTGCAACTTTCTCCGGCTCCTCATGTGGTTTCTGCTCAGGACAGTGTTGTTGCACCTGAGACTAATTTAGGTGACTCAACGGAGAAAGGTCAGTTCAATTCACACCTGCTTCTTTCACGTAGGTTCTTCTTGTCACTGCTTTTTTTTTTTTGGTCAAAGGTTTTTGAAATTTTATTTGTTTTTTCAAAATTTTCCCCTTTTTTCTCGCTTTCTGCTTTAGATCGCTAGTTTCTCCGTGTTTTATTATGACTGTGGTACGCAACAAATTCCATTCAGAGACAAAATATAATGTACGCTTATATATTTTCATTTTGTCGTGTTACAGCAATAAACTTCAAAGTAATTTGGAATCATTTATATGAAAGAAAGATAATGTAGCCCATAGTTTTAAAAAAATCATACACGTTTTCAAAAATGTTCTACAAATACAAACCATAAAAATGTTAACTCTGTAATTCAATGTGCATTTGCCATATCAATATATAAAGAAAAAGAACTTAATTAGCTATTAATGTTTATGTATTTTATTGAAAAGACAATTCACTTTGATAAGTCCATCATTGTCAAACATTACCTTTGGTACACCTGAGTCCTCAGATGTACCAGAACCAGTTTCTCCATAACATTCATAATGTGTGAAGTCTGAGCTATTGGTAACAGTTGAAACAAGTTCATGAAGCTGTAATGCTTCATGAACTTGTTTCAATTAACGACCTCCGATAACTCCAAGGCCATATTCAAGATGGTGGCGATGTAACGTAGGTGTTGGATCTATTACCTAACACTCTCGCTGGACATTAATAAGGACACAGGGAGACGGTTAAATTTTCTCATGCAATCTTCCAATTGAACGAAGAACTCTGCCCAGAGACTTCCCGTTATCTCTGTCTCCGGACCAGTTCTAACATGCTTCTCTGCAACTGCATATTTCATTGCATTGAGGCGTAGCTTAATTACAAACATTTGCATAGAAGGAGTGGCAAACACAATACACATTCTGAACGTACTGTCTTTGTGTCTCCTGATGTTACAGTTGTTTGTTGTCTCTCTGGACCATATAACTAGAGTTTCTCGGGACATCTACCCTTTGATCCACTCTCCTGCTAGGTGTCAACTCTTTCCCCCTGGTTGGCATCTGTGGTTCCCTTGTCCGCCTGTCAGGGCAATTGTGTCTGCAGGCATCCTGCTCCATTCCCAGGATTCTCTGGTTCAGTTCCCATCCCCCTCTGGGGTCGTAAAGTTCTTTTTTTTTCAGTTTCCGAGACTCTGGGTTGTATGCAAATGACCCATTCTTCCTACCAGACTAACTGTCACCCTGGCCATCCGCCTCAATGTGACAAACTCATTGCTTCCTTCAAAGATAAAAGAAACACAGATCCCAGGGGCAAACAAAGGTTTTTCAAACCTTATAGTCTCCTAATCTTGAATAAATATATTTGTATTTATATAAAAACCTAACAGTAGGACTCTGTTCAAAGGGGGGTGTTCAGACCAGCGTGCTTACCCACCAGGCTGGGTAATCAGAGCAGAATTTGTGGAGACAGCCTGGAGCGCCATGGTAACTCTATGACACTGGAGCTGCTGTAACAGAAAGCCCCCATGTGATAACTACTAATGTATGGCCTCTTTATAGCTGTATGATGAAGGCACTGGAGAGCTTCTGGCAAGCCAGTGCAAAATAACCAAATTAAAATTTTGACCTATATGTTTTTGTACCCATGAAGGAGCTGGAAGATCTGGCTGCTTGGATACCCACCCCCTTCACCTGGACACAGACACCTGCACAGCCAGCCTCCTAACACTCAGCCCTGTCGACGCTGATGGGAAGAAAAGCACAGGAGACACAGACAACCTGGCTGCAGCTCCAGGGAACCACGGCACCTGTCTCACCCTCAATGACCATGACCGCATCAGACAGTTTATCCAAGAATTCACTTTCAGAGGCTTGCTGCCACATATAGAAAAAAACATCAGACAACTAAATGACCAGGTAAACCTTTGGGGCTGGGTTGAAGAAAACAAGTCACGTTAGAAAAATTTCATTCTCTGAAGATCTTTTTTTTTCATTAATGGTATAAATCTTGAATTTCCTAAATGAAAATTAGGCATAAGTCCTCATCTGCAATGTAACTTATAATTGTTACAAATACTATGTTTCTTATGTTTTTTCTTCTGAATTCTCTTTCATCATCATTCTAGCACCTCTTACCCTCACTCTATGTTCTTAGCTAGTTTCTAGGAAAGGACTGAGCCGGTCTTTGTTCACAGCCACCAAAAAGTTTTTTGGTGGAGGTAAAGTTCCAGAGAAGAGTGTTAATGAACCAAAGAGCACTTATGGCCTTCAGTAAGCTCCCTTCCTCTACTTTATCACCAGACACCATGGCAGGCCAGCATTGTGTACTAAATTAGTCCTGATGCTTTCTTTCTGATACCAGATACCCTCCTGAAGCTCCTGAGCTGCAGATAAGAAAGATGGCTGACCTCTGCTTTCTGGTTCAGCACTATGAACTGGCCTATAGTTGTTACCACACTGCCAAGAAGGATTTTCTGTCAGACCAGGCTATGTTGTACGCTGCAGGGGCTCTGGTAAGGTCCCCTCTTCTGTTGCATATTGGAGCACAGTTCCTCATCCCAAATCAGCATGATGCTTTCCATGTTGTTTCACTCTGTGCTCAGTACTTTTTTCTTTTTTTTTAAACTTTGTTTAGTGATTGTGTTTCATTTATCAATCATATACAGAACACTGACCAGAACAATTGTCGACAAGAAAAATTACTTGCATTCTGACAAAGATGAACAGATACAGGGTATCTGTATGTGAAAACAGCATAGAGATTTATTTTCAAATTTTTTGAGCAGCATTTAGAGCGACAGAAACCTAGTCCATTTGCTCCATCTCTTTTTGTAAAGGTTCGATTGCAGTCTCAGAATGAACATTAACTTTTTCATTTTGTGGGTTTCTTCCACCAGTTCCAGCCAGTTCTTTAGCATTGGTGGGTCAGGTTGAAGCCATTTCCGAGTGATCAATTTTTTGGGTGTAGCACTGAAGATTTTTAATAAATATTTGTCATTCCTGTTCAGACCCTCAGGAACGGCTCTGAGCAGCAATAACATGGTAGGTTGTTGAAGTTTATGACCCAAAATTAATTACATTTTCTCCAAAACATCCTTCCAATAAGTCTTGATTTTTATGCAGAACCAGAAAATATGGGAGTGATTTGCCTCTGTGTCCCTGTATCCTCTCCAGCACTTAGAAGCATTTGGGTTTCAATAAAACTGCTGCTTTGGTGTTCCAAAAAATCATAACTTTGTCCAATAATTTGAAGAGGAAGTTGAAGCACCAGATTCACACATGAGAGGACACTATGTGTTTTCCCAAGACCCAAACAGGTCTACTGAAGCCTGCCCGTAACGCAGCCAAATCATCCTGACTACCTCGGGGGGAAGTCTTCATTCTGCATAGAGAGGGTTCCCCCTGGAGAGAAGGTCTGCTCCTCAGTTTAACACTCCTGGGACATGAGTGGCCCTTAGTGACAAAATGCTCCAAATGACCAGCTTGTATGCCAGCATATGAAGATGTTGGGATCTCAGACCCCCCTTGACGGTTTATGTATGCCACCATAGTCGTGTTGTCTGTCCAGACTAATACGTGATTACCCTTTAGAAAAAGGAGGAAATGTTTCAGTCTCAGGAGAACAGCCAGAGAAAGCCCACCATCTGAGAAGCCACCCAATGTTGGACTTCCCTCAAATGAAGGCGCCCTAGTGGAACAACATCCAAAACTGAGGCCATCAGACCCAGTAATCGTCTGCACAGATGAGGAGACACAAAATTTCCCCTGTGAAACAGGGACATGCAGGTCATAAGTGACTTCTTGACTCGCATTGCGCTTGCGCGAGGGTTATCCTCGGTCACATGTCTGCTTGTGGGAGGAAGAGGCTGCGCCCTTGTCAGGAAGCGACAAGCCATCGCCTCTCTTATTGGTATTTGTTTGTTTTGCAACATTTTTAGCTGCGCTCAGCGTTTTGCCTGGATGTGGTAGCTTGTGAAAGTTTAATGTTCTGACATAAAACAGTGCTTGTGGGACATGAACTGGGCCTAAAGCAGGACATCCCGAACTGAACACAGTCCCCGTTTCGTGTGCACTGAGCGGGCTCAGTCCGCCGAACTTTGTTGAACTTTATGGAAGGGCTCGGTAATGGAACTGTGTCTGAGAACGGGTCCAGCCCACTCTCTGACTTCCAAAAAGCTGTCGGACCAAACGTTTCCTCCTCCTCACCGTCTGAGTGGACTTGGGTGGCGGCTGATCCGGGCAAGCAGCTTCGGGTTTCTTCGGCCACGAGCCCTTAACAGCAGCGCCTTTCAGAGAAGGATTAGCGGCCGACTGAGTTTTCGGCAGCTTTGAGATCCTAAAAGTGGGAGGCAAACGCGCCACAGCCTGGGCGAAGGTTCAGCGCTGGGATGCGGGACCAGTGGCTGTGTGCACTGGCGCCCAATGTGGGAGACACAGCTTTAAAGCCTTATCATCCCTTTTCTTTTCCTCACACCTCTTTTCCATGGATGTTACAGCTGCACCAAACAGGCCATGCGGATCGATGGGGATATTGAGGAGGTCCTCCTTTTCCCTGGTGGAAAGTGTGGTTAAATTTAACCGTCTTGTCCTTTCCTGTTGAACCATGAGCCCCATAACTCTCCCCATAGCCTGGATCACCACTTTATGGAGCTGGAGACAGTGATCAGTGATGATACACACTTCTTCTGATGAGGTCACGCAGAGGGCGTTCTCAAAGTGAGACACAAAACGAATGCTAGGAAAGAGAACCGTGAACTCGCTTTTGTAGATGGACAACAATAGTTGTATGGATGAAATTGTAAATCACCCTGACTGTGGTTCTGACATTCCAGTACATGGTCCTTCAGTGGACATTGTGTTTCCTGTCTCAAGTGACCAAGGACTTGCCTGAATCTGATCTCCCTGAATCTGTTGCACTGTCAAACTCTTCTGAACCAGTTTCCAACCTTATAACTGCAGCTGTCCACTCTGAGCTTATTCGGCATGATCTTTCAGCCGAATATAGTGCTGACACGAAATTGGACTTGCCTGTGATTGATGTTGTTTACACTCAGCCGTCTCGGCTATGCACTAAGTTGGGTAGGCTTGTTAAGTCTCCAGTCAGACTTATATGTGAAATGAATGAACAGGTTGTGGATGGTTAAATGTAAATGGACTCTCTGTTTTCCTTTGTAAAGACCATGTCGGCAGGGTAAATTTGTATTATTTTGATTTTTGTTTCCTTTCCCAGTGATTGCTTAGTAGAGCAATGGTTGTATATCAAAAGATGTAAATGGCATCCTTTGGGTCTGTGTTGGTAAGAGTGTTGGCTGCACTTTTGCTAACATTATTCCTTAGGGGAAGTTTAGAACTGATGTGACTACTATGTGTTCTCTTTATCACATTTTTATTTTAGCGTTGTGTGTACTTGTTTGATGTTATTTGCTACTGTTTGATACTGTTTTAGCAGAATTTAAGGTGGGTGTATGTAACATAGTTAAAATGGTTCAGGTTAAATCCTGCTAAAATGTGCTTCATAGTTGTCCTGTATTGAGTGGTTTTTGGCACCTCCTACTGGTTGCCTATCAAAGGAGGAGAAACTGTAGATTCCACAGTCTGTTCAGCTCTCTACTGTGGTAAGTCATTAAATTCAGTTATTTTCGGAACTGTAATGATGGTTGTGCTCAAGGGCTAATGTGGAGTTTTATTGCAGTACCCAGAACTAGTGGACCACTAGGGAGGCTCTCTGTGCTGTTTGTTATTAATCACTCATTACAGGTAATTATGTTATCTTAGCTGTATTTGCCAGTTTGCTGTATTTGCCAATCACTATATGATCACTTGTTAGAAAAACATGTTGTTGGACCCGATTGTAATGATTATTTGTAAGACAAAGTCTGTTCAACACTCTACTGTGTATCCAGAACTAATGGACTAGTAGGGAGGCTCACTGTGCTGTTTATTAATCACTCATTACAGAAAATTCAACCAACTAGCCTCCGCAGTGTGCTGTGTGTGGGGAAGGAAGTCACATATACAAATGAAAGTTGATTGATTGATTGATTGATTGATTGATTGATTGACAGACAAAGAATCTCTCAAATCCATATTCACCGCCTCCAGCTCGTTCAGCCATTGTTCCGCTTTCGTTAGCCTCGCAGCTTGGTTTCGGATGTCCGAACTGACCTCATCCAGTTTCTTGTTCATTTCACTCTTAAAGCTGTTCAGGTCTCGCTTGATGTCCTTTTGCATTTCTTTGATACTGCATAGATTCTAGATAGCCCTAACAGTCGTTAGCTCTCTCTCCTCACTGGGGTCCGAGGCCTGCATCATGCTAGCTTTGTTATCAACGTTTGTTAGATCAGTCCCTGCCCAGCCACGATCGTCAGCACCCCCTGGTCTCTTTTTTGATCTAACTCCACGCATTATATATCATTTTGAAGAAGAACTGAATCTTTTTATCGGGTTTAGTGGAGTTTTTCTTGTGGCTGAACAGGACCGGTTACGGATTTAACCATCTTGGAAACGCTGCCGGAAGTCCACTCAATATTTTAAGCTAGTCATGGGACTTGATTCAAATTTTTAAAAGTTAATTGCAGGGTCTGTAAGTAATTAATTGCAAAGAATTGTTTTTTAATTGCATTTGATTTCCCTTTGGGATGAATTATGTATTTTTGAATTTGAATTAAAATTCAAATTCTGCTGCAGTTAGTTGTTTTTCCCTACAAGTCAATGTTTTAAAATTCTATATTAATGTTTTTCTTATTTTAATCTTTCTAAACCTACTCAACCTGAGTTGAGTAGGTTTAGAATTAACCTACTCAGCGTAGTGATTAGTTACAGTTAGGGCCAGAAATATTTGGACAGTAACACAATATTTGTGAGTTGGGCTCTGCATGCCACCGCATTGGATTTGAAATGAAACCTCTACAACAGAATTCAAGTGCAGATTGTAACGTTTAATTTAAAGGGTTGAACAAAAATATGTGATAGAAAATGTAGGAATTGTACACATTTGTTTACAAACACTCCATATTTTAGGAGCTCAAAAGTAATTGGACATATAACATAACCCAAACAAAAAAGTTTTTTCTCAATATTTTGTTGCAAATCCTTTGGAGGCAATCACTGCCTTAAGTCTGGAACCCATGGACATCACCAAACGCTGGGTTTCCTCCTTCTTAATGCTTTGCCAGGCCTTTACAGCCGCAGCCTTCAGGTCTTGCTTGTTAGTGGGTCTTTCCGTCTGAAGTCTGGATTTGAGCAAGTGAAATGCATGCTCAATTGGGTTAAGATCTGGTGATTGACTTGGCCATTGCAGAATATTCCACCTTTTTGCTCTCATGAACTCCTGGGTAGCTTTGGCTGTATGCTTGGGGGTCATTATCCATCTGTACTGTGAAGCGTCGTCCGATCAACTTTGCAGCATTTGGCTGAATCTGGGCTGACAGTATATCCCGGTACACTTCAGAATTCATCCGGCTACTCTTGTCTGCTGTTATGTCATCAATAAAACAAGTGACCCAGTGCCATTGAAAGCCATGCATGCCCATGCCATCACGTTGCCTCCACCATGTTTTACAGAGGATGTGGTGTGCCTTGGATCATGTGCCGTTCCCTTTCTTCTCCAAACTTTTTTCTTCCCATCATTCTGGTACAGGTTGATCTTTGTCTCATCTGTCCATAGAATACTTTTCCAGAACTGGGCTGGCTTCTTGAGGTGTTTTTGGGCAAATTTAACTCTGGCCTGTCTATTTTTGGAATTGATGAATGGTTTGCATCTACATGTGAACCCTTTGTATTTGCTTTCATGGAGTCTTCTCTTTACTGTTGACTTAGAGACAGATACACCTACTTCCCTGAGAGTGTTCTGGACCTCAGTTGATGTTGTGAACGGGTTCTTCTTCACCAAAGAAAGTATGCGGCGATCATCCACCACCGTTGTCTTCCGTGGACGCCCAGGCCTTTTTGAGTTCCCAAGCTCACCAGTCAATTCCTTTTTCCTCAGAATGTACCAGACTGTTGATTTTGCTACTCCAAGCATGTCTGCTATCTCTCTGATGGATTTTTTCCTTTTTTTCAGCCTCAGGATGTTCTGCTTCACCTCAATTGAGAGCTCCTTTGACCGCATGTTGTCTGGTCACAGCAACAACTTCCAAATGCAAAACCACACACCTGGAAACAACCCAGACCTTTTAACTACTTACTTGATTACAGGTTAACGAGGGAAAGGCCTTTTGAGTTACTTGCAGCCTTTGGAATCCATTGTCCAATTACTTTTGGTCCCTTGAAAAAGAGGAGGCTCTGCATTACAGAGCTATGATTCCTAAACCCTTTCTCCGATTTGGATGTGGAAACTCTCATATTGCAGCTGGGAGTGTGCACTTTCAGCCCATATTATATATAAATTGTATTTCTGACCATATTTTTGTCAACAGCTAAAATAACAAAACCTGTGTCACTGTCCAAATATTTCTGGCCCTAACTGTATGCAAAAATACTTTAAACATTGATCAAATTAATTGAGTGATGTTTTTTTTAGGTTTCCTTCATAGTTGTGAAGCTTTAGGTCTAATAATTATGAGTTGTTTTCTAGGAAATGGCTGCAGTGTCCGCCTTTCTGCAGGGCGGAGCCTCGAGACCATATCCAAGCCACTATATGGATACAGCAATCCAGACGTACAAAGATGTTTGCAAGTATGATTCTCACCCTCCTTACATCAACACATGCAATGGGAGCTTATCCTCATACATTAGATGTAAAATATCACATACCGGTAGTTTGACCATAAAACTTTTTGTCAGGTAAAGAATAACTGACAGTAAATATTCCTTTATTACCTTTGTGACTGCCTATTTTCTTCATATCCTCCTTAGAAGCATGATGCTGGCTGAACGCTGTGCATTACTCAGCGCAGAGATACTGAAAAGTCAAGCAAAATATTCTGAGGCTGCAACTCTTCTTATTAAGATGACCAGTGAGGTGAAAAATCATGTATTACTTGTATCTCTGTTGTTCTAGTAGAAATGCTTCAGACCTGCAGCTCACTGAGCTCTTCTGTGAAGCTACTGTATTTGTGTTTGTAGGACTCTGACCTTCGCAGCGCTCTGCTGTTGGAGCAAGCAGCCCATTGCTTCATTAACATGCGTAACCCTATGGTGCGCAAGTTTGCTTTCCACATGATCCTGGCTGGTCATCGCTTCAGCAAAGCAGGACAGGTACCCCTGATGCACCTAACTTTGATTGACACTGGACATTAATGTGCAAATGCTTATTTAAAATTGTTCAGAAATCCAATCAGAAAGGATTCTGTTCTGAACATTTTTTTAATAACCATCTGCATATTAAAGCATTCTTTTATAGTCTACAGTTAATATCTTCAGGTAAAATCTCACTCAGTACCAACAGAATAGTTAATATTAATATGGTTACTGTAGCAACTTTATAAAGAAGAGAAAAACATGACAATGTTTCTACTGTAGTCTTTTCTCTCTCCCTCTCTTTATTTTGTCATGTAGAGGAGGCACGCACTGCGCTGTTACAGTCAAGCCAAGCAGATCTACAAGGACAGAGGCTGGTCTTTGGCAGAGGATCATATCAACTTTACAATTGGTCGTCAGTCCTTTACACTAGGGCAGCCTGAGAACGCTTTACAGGCCTTCAGACAGATTCTGATTAATGATAGCCGACAGACAGCCACACAGCAGGCTGCCTTTCTCAGAGAATACCTCTATGTTGTCAAGGTGAGATTAAAAAGAATTTTCTGTTTTTCCTAACCTTATTCACAAATGTGATTAACACTGATCTTTTTTAAAGAGGTTTATACAAATGCCTTCATTCTTGAAGTTTGTTCTTGAATCAAATTGAAATTAAAAGTAGTAATTTTTTTTGGCTAGAAAGTTTATTCAGTATTGGTGTGAAGTAAATGAGTCTAAATAGATAAGGATAAGATGTAAATTAAGGTAATGCAAAAGAAAAATGCACAATATACTCCATTAAATTTCCGTTCCAATTTCCATTGAATTTAAAGGCAGTGATTTTTGCTTAAACATTAAGTGATGTAATAAAAATTTAAAGTACAGTTGTTGTCAGCTGTGCAGCTGTTTTACCGGTCAGAAGATCCAGCTGAATTATCCTTTGAAAAAAAATGTAGAACATGTTAGACTGAGATCCTAATGACCATACAACAGCAATCAATCAGAGCAAGGAATAGGGTTTTAGCACTGTCACTCACGTTGTCTACCTGCTGCTTAAATCTTTCTCCTTGCTTTCTGCTGGGCTGCACCTCCTCTGTGAGAGGTTGAGCAGCAAAAATCTTTCTTTGCCTACAAGGAAATTATTGGATGTTTCATCAGACACACATATTTTCTATTGCTACTGATCACGTGTTCATTGCGACAAATCTTATTGATTTTTTTTAGCCCAGCAATAACTGGAAGGTTCTATAATTGGATGTGTAGAAAGGCCCAGCCAGAATCTGTGGAAGGAGATAAAGATTAGTGCAACAAGGCCTTCTAATACCTAAGACTTGGAACCAGGGATAAGCTGTCAGTGTATCTTTTAACATTATCTTACATATGTTCTTGCAGGGAAAATCATAAATTCTAATTAAAAGTCTGTCTGCAAAATTTGACAGTTTCCGTGGAATTGTTACTTTTGGTATGTTTTCCATTGTTGGTTGCAAAGATCAACTATAAACAACTATAATAAGAAGACAAACTTTAAATTACTTCTCAGTTTAATTTTATACATATTGTTGTGTATTAATTCACAACAATTAGATTATATTTAAACATTTTTTGTGGTCTATGTTTTTTAAATGCATAGACGCATTAAAAAAACATACACATTTAAAAAAAAACATACATTCCTATTTAATTGTAGTTATTGAACAATTCAGATTAAAGACTGTAAAAAATGCTTTCATTAAATTTGCAGCAACTTTTATGCAAATTTAACCCTGCATAAAAGTCATTGAAGCTTAAGTGATTAGTCCAGCAGCAATAATGTAGAATTGATTTACTATTTTTTTCTTTTTTTTCTTAGAGTGTTCTTGGAGAAAGTGAAAGCTGCCTTCCCCAGCTGCCGCTGCCTCATATCCATAACTCTGCTACCAGAGTTTACTTTGGACATGAACGGCGTCTTGCAGAAGGTAACTCTCTGGTAGCTCTTTAAAACATCAGCCACCAAGCTTGTTTTTTTTAGTGAAATGTTCTATCAGTTCTATCAATATTTATTACATATTCAGGTATGTGTACTGTACTATGAAAGCTGGACATTTCTCACCTATACACCAGAATTCTGTGCACTAGTGCTCTACGAAGGAACTACGCAGTAATTCATTACTTTTTATTGAAAATTGTGTTCTAGAACATTTGTTTAATAAAGAAAGTAAGACTGATGGTTATCTTGTGTTTTTCTATCAGAGGTGTGTGTTGCAGTTGGTTTCAGGATTGTGTTTTATGATTGTAAGATGCTGATGGCTCTGAAAGGTTTATAATGCTGAAATGTCAGTGTGGTCTGTGATCCAAAACCTTCTTTGTTCTACAAGGAATATTTCCATGACATTCAGTCAGTTTGGAAACATAATTACCTATGCTGGAATTGGAATAATGTCACAGCTTTGGCTTCCTTTTGATATGCATCAATGATTTAAGATTTAATCATAATTATTAATTAACACAACAAATGATTAATTCAAGTACTTTTTTGAAGGGGAGAAGCAGGCAGCTACTCATGTTTCCTTGGATCAGGAGTATGACCAAGATTTGTCAGTCCTATGGTGCCAACTTGAGGAGCAGCTTGCAGCATCTGCCAATCGAGGGATTCTTCCAAGTAACTTCCAACCTACTCAGTGCTGTCTGAACAATCAGACGGACAACCTCCACCACCCACTGGCTGTGATTGAGGGTCAGAGTTAATGTGACTGTGTCTAAATATCACTATTGCTTATTTTCACTTTTCAACTGAATATAAAGCTTTATTTATTTTCTTAGAGGAAAGAATATTGCTCTATTAAGAATAATTCTCCAGTGAACTAAAAAAAAAAAACACCGCGCCATTGTATTTGGATATGTTGCAGCCCTTTCTTTAACAAAGGAGAGGGCGCTACTGAAGAATTTTGAAGTACTTCCAAATACTTCAGTTATTGTAGGTGGTGATGGCTGTGGGTAGAAAGTTTCTACTGTAATGGTCAGTAAAGGTCATTACAGTAGGAACTTTCTACCCACAGCCATCACCACCTACAATAACTGAAGTATTTTGAATTAATGAGAGTTACAGTAACATTTAATTTTCCTTATGGTCTATGAAGGATTTTGAATTGGATTGAGTGGAAAACCAACAGAACAAAGGTCCCTGATAACTGGAATTGAGAAACACTGTTCTTGAGTAAACTAATTTGAGAACAATAGATCTATTGTTTTTATCTACAATAGATCTATTGATGTGTTCCATCTATTGATGGAACAATAGATGGAACTATTGATGGAACACATCAATAGATCTGTGAACAATAAAAATTATTCACAGATTTGTCAAGATTTGAAATAACTTCCTCAATTTCACAAAAAATGTTTTTACACTCTTGAAATAGTTTTTGTTTTTCTGAGAGACTTAATGCTCAAAAAGGGAAGTGAAAAAAACATTTGCAGAATAAGTGCTGATGTTGTCAACGCTCCCATGCACATCTGCTCTCCTTTCACCCACCTCAGTGGCCTATGCCATGGTAACAAACTTGTTTTGCCTAAGTCTTCAAACTGCTAAATCCATGCTGGACATGGAGGCCAGATAAAGATAATCCTCAAAGTGCTTCATTTCCTTCCAAAACCCTTCCAAGAACAAAAAATTGGTCTTTAATGATGAGACTGTCGGTGTCTCATGTAAAAGCCCATCTAGGAACAAGTGCTGAAAATTAGTTGTTGCTTTTGCTCTATGATGCAAACATGGGACTGCTGTTTTGTTCAGTTTGTCTGTGTCGATGTGTGTATGTCCCTGCTGAATAAACTTAAATAAAATAAAAATAAAATGAATTATACCTGTACTCTGTTTTCCTCAACAGAACCAATAATTGTGGAGGTCACATTCAGAAATCCTTTGAAGGTTTCTTTGCTTTTGTCCAACCTCTCTCTCCTATGGAGGTTTTCTACTGGCACACCTTTCGGGGGAAAGGAATCAACAAGTGACCAGATAACTGACGAGATGAACACTAATGAAGACACCTCAGCAGGCAAGGTGAGCTTTCTGACCAAACCCAGCTCAACAGTCTAGATTTTTATTCAGACTGGTGTTTAGATCCATCATTGAAAGTTTCCATTTTCCCTTCATTATGTTTCATGTTGCTATTGTCACAGAATGAAGAAATTGTCACAACAGAGATCATCAAAGAGTTCTACCTGGGATCAGAAGAGACCAAAACTGTGAGTAACTGTTTTGGTCTCTTCAAGGTTCAGTTGAAACATGACTGTTTCAACCTCTAGAAACAGTCATGTTAGGGTTGTGCAATGCACCACTTCTGTACATAGTTGTCAAGAGTTTATTCATAATCTTATTAGATATACTAAAATGGATACCATCGGATTTTTGACATTTCAAAATATCAACTTTCAAACTGGAACCCAGCTGTTTTGACACTGAGTATGTGTGACTTTCTATCCTCTGGACAGTGGACAGACTGAAGTGTTCTGCCACAAAAGAGTGTTTGTATCACTGAACACAGTGTGATTGAAAATCATGGGACTTAATGTGCTGGAGCGTACCTCTCTTTCATATGTTTTCTCCAAATCCTTTTGCGAGAAAAGTTCCACGTATGCTAAATGTTAAATTTGCAGAAGCTGGAGTGCTGGGTGCCATGTCTTTTCCTCCCCATTTCCTGTCTGTTTACTTTTAAATAAATGCCACTAAAGCCTCAGGATGGAGCCCGAGGCTTCAGCTGGACTTAAAGCAGAACTCACAATTTCATCAGAGGTATTAGGTAAAATGTGATACACAAATATATTTAATATTAAAATAAACATCCACCAACTTGGAATTTGTGGATTTTTATCTACAATAGATTTTTTCAAAAGTCCATAATAATAAGAAATAATAGTAATTCTGATAAATAACAGATCAGTAACCAAAATCCCTCAAAAGTAATATAAGTTTATATTTAAATAACTCAGTATTGGCACAAAAAAGAAATGCCCCAAACATTCAATTAGTTTTAATCAGAACAATACCCACAAAAAGGACCCATATCCTCTAAAAACACTGTCATAAAAATATTCCCCAGTTGTAATCCCAAGTACCAATTCAAATGGTCAACAGTGAGGGCAAACTGTTTCAAGAACCAGACAAAGAATATATTTTTAATCGGTATTTATTCGAAGGCTTAACAAGCGTTCGAAGTCTCTGCTCACTGATCGCAGTACGGAGAAAGACCCTCAAGTAGAGCACGACTTACAGTTTTTTAGGAAGAGGTTCATTCCATTCACATAGTTTGATAATCTACTTGGTTACAAAGCAGACAGCAAGCACACATATTTTTGTTCACTAGGGGAGTCATGAGAGATAAAGAGACAACTTCATGCAAAGGTCAGAGAAACTAAACTTCAGAAGTATTTTTCATGAGCTCATGCATCCCACAAGAATCATCATACTGTTATGTATAGATTCGGCTAATAATCATAGTAACTTTAAATTTTCCCACTACACAAGTTAGTCAGCTAACTGTAGATGCGTATCTAAACTGAGCAGTATCAGTGGTTACCAGCAGTGCTGTGTTGCACATTAGTTCACATGCGAGCAGCGATGGAAGTAAAGAAGACAAAGACAGTGACAGAAATTCCAGAACCTCTCCATCTACATGTATGCAACAGATCAACTCTGTCTACTGCAGTGCCTCTTTTTACGGGTTTAGATTTCCTCCACTGTCAACATGTCGGATGCTGACTGAAACTTACTACTGAACTATAAAGCTAACTCACAACTGACAACCATGCCAGCTCAACATAATTGCTGAAAATATCAGAGCCAAACTAATTATTATATTCGCTTTATTTGATAATTATTATATTAATATAACCTTATATTACTTTTGAGGTGATAAAAAGCAAAGATGAGGACTATTCTATACAAGTTTGAGGAAAAGCTGAGAAAGATTTTACAGTTCTTATTTTTGTTTTTCTTATTTATCTCTTGTGTGTTGCCTGTAAATATTTTGTAGTTAGGTTATGATTGATAATGAGGGTTACTGTGATTCAATTAGTAGCTCATTGCAGTTCACCAGTCTAACCTGCTCTGTTCAGACAGCATAGATTGGTGAGGACCAACTTCTATTGTTTATGTCACATATAGCTTTTGAGTTTTGTTTTGTACTGTCAGGCCCGACTGAAGCTGCTGCCACACAAAACTGGTCAGCTGAACATTGTAGGAGTGATCTACAACTTGACTTCATCTCTCTTTGGGGAAGCCTCTTCAGACAATGAAGGTATGTTTACACGTGTTTCCACCCAGGGTTGGTTGGTTTAATACACAGCATTGTATTCTGGCACAGACTAGTTAATGATTTGATCGTGAAAAATTACATTATACTGCCAAAACATGTTGTGTGTGAACTTTATCCTGCATCAGGTCAGCAGACTTTAGACTCCATGATGATTCATGGTAGACAGGACCTGAAGATCCAGGGCCCACGGCTTAACCTGACAAAAGAAGACAAGATGCAAGTTCGATATGGCACAGATCGACGTTTGGAGCCCGTCATAACCCCACCTATGCCTCTAATGGAGGTAACTGACACTCTCATGTCTTCCTCTATGGCTAACATGATCAGGTGAACTTAAAGTAAAATAGTTAATTGGCTTTACGTTTTGTATGAATTGTCCTGAAAAATTAGCTGGTTTATGTGAAGCTTGTGACTGAACTTCTTGCCTTTGGCTTATTATTGAGATTATAGATTCATTTTGGAACAAATACATACCAAACAGGCCTGCAGACATAAAATGTCTGGTGATGGTTGTCTAGGACTTGAATTAAACAGGATTAGGTTGAATGGCTTCCTTTAATATGGTATTTTAGTCCATTATTTGGGCTTTTCTATTACTTTTTTTTCTTTTTATAATTAAGTCACTTGTGATTGCTCAACTTGAAAAAGATTTTTTGCAGTACTTAGTTTTTTGTGAGCCAAGAATGATTCTTACTCCTGGCAGATTTAGATGTACAATGTTTTTTCTTCAGCTGAGGAATTGGTTTCTGGAAGGAAACTAGAGTTTTCTCTTAAAAGCAAAGAAAATGATGTAATCTAAGAATCTTTGGATTTATGTTTTGTCAAGTAGTTTGAATGCACTATAATTTATATAATTGTTTAAAATCACTGTAAGCTGCTGAATAGTACAAAACAATCTTAGTGTGTGCGTGTGTGTGCGTGTGTGCATGTCTGTGTTTCCGCAGGTTTTCTTCCTCCAGTTTCCCACTGCCCTGCTGTGTGGTGAGATTAGGAAAGCTTATGTGGAGTTCTGTAATGTCAGTGCAGTTGCTCTGTGTGGCCTTCGAGTGGCGTCCACGCACCCTGATTTCTTCACGTTTGGCAGCCAGAGCACAGCACCTTTCACACTTCCCAGCTCCCGCTCAGCAGAGAACTACTCCGCCTTTGTGACGTTTCCTACCCCCCTTCAGCCAGGCTCCATGTCCTCTGAGACGTTGGTTTCTGCTCCTGCATGCAGTCAGCCCTCCGGGGTGACAGAGATCCCAATACATGGCAGCACACTGCAACCAGGACAGTCAGTTCAGCTACCCCTCTGGCTCCGAGGACCAGACCAGGAAGGAGTCCACGAAATCAACTTCCTGTTCTACTATGAGAACACAGAGAAAGGACTCAAAATCAGGTGAAAGATGATTTTGAGGATTAATATACTCAAAATTAACCCTGAGTTATATTATTACTTTAATATAATTGTGACCAGACCATTTTAATTACTTTTTATTTATCTTAAGATAAATTAAATGAGTCTGTAAAGAACTCATTTAATTTATCTTAATCGTGTCACATTGACACGATTAACATAACAGATAGTGCTCTGTAGAATGCTGCATCTAGTCGTGCACGTCTTAAAATCTGAAAGTGTTTTTGGTAAGTTTGGTGATTGGATAAAATATGTGGAATAGTAATTCCGAAAATTGTCTATATTCAGCAAAAATAATAATGTTTACACCCAGAAACTCAAGTATTGATGGAAATATGGCCTGTCCCCACCTCACCTTAGAAACTAATGAGAAAAGTTTGAACTTCCCAAGATATTATTTTTACTAAATGCTTGGCACACAGCGGAAAGATGGCTGTATTCAATCCATCACTCCATAGTATCAACACATGCAATAATTTAGGTTCTAAATAAGTTTTGTATTTGTACTGAGTTTAACGGTGTGTCATCTCCTCCTCTTGAAGTCACCGGGTGTTGCGTCACACAGTGTTTATATGCGCCAGTCGGTCTCTGAGTGTCCAGGCCTCCGCCTGCCGCAGCAGTGCTTCCCCTCTAGATGATAAAGGCAGCGGGGGAACTCTTGTTTTTATTGATGTGGAGAACGTAAATGCAGTAAGATGAACCACCCTTTGACTTACAAAGATTCTTTGTTCTTACATCATGTTGCGAAACTTAGTTTAAATTTCTTTAAATTGTTCCAGAGTGAAAGTGGTGTTCGTGAGTTCGACATTGTCCAGGTGTCTAGCAGTAGTCAGCACTGGCGCCTCCACAAGTATATCAATCCATGGAACAATTATGGTAAGTCCATTTTAAAAGGGGCTAACTTCCTTTTAAAATGCTTTTTTTTTATCATTGTCATTTTTTTCTGCATACTTTCTAGTACCTAAAGGTTCTACAATGGTTTTACAATTCAATTAAAATTATTACAAACACCGCACTTCTTATTGCATGGATCATGGGCATTTTTCCAACCACAAAAATAATAGTGAACTCACCATGAATGATGTAAGTTTGAATCGTCTCCTAGTTTTTGATCAATCATCTCTGTTCAAATAAAATTATTTCTAGGCCTGTAACACATTTTGCTGAACAATTAATTGTCCCAAAAATTATTGCAATAAACTGTAATATTGTCGTTTTGAGACCGTTGTTAATTTATAATAAATGGCATAATAATGTAAGTACACCTTCTCCAAGATGAACTCATTTTTAAAGAACATTTAGCCCAATTGCTGGAAGACATTTTAAATAGACAAACCAAAAATGGACAATAAACTTTCTCTTCAAACTATATTAATCATTAGGCTCAGATTCTTCAATTAGAAACTTTGAGGAAAAAAAGAAGTGTAAACATAGTACTGTGTACTGTGCATTAAATATTTCAAGTATTTTTTCTTTTAAATACTGGTTGTTCTATGAAATCGTAGGGCTGCTAGTTAGTTCCTACTGTTTTTAATTGATAATCTATTGCTTTTTATGTTTGGCCCAGTTGTTTCATACAAAGAATGAAAAACTGTGACCTTCCTCTTCATCAGACTACCATGCAATGGTCTTCAGTCCAAAAAGCCTCCGGTTTTGAGTTGCTGTTGAACCGTAATAAATGGAACATTGATCAACTCAGATGATTTGTATTAATTTTTTTGATGGTGGTCAAAATATGTCATGTTTTTATGATGTAAAGCTGCCTTGTTGATGAAACGTGCTATACAAATAAACTTGATCGATTCCGTTTCTCTGCTTTCAATTTCTCTCTCCAGATTGCAGACTCAGCAGTCAAGAAAGAGCTAAGCTTTGTTTTAAAGCCATGAGATGCAAATCCCATGAAGGTATTTTTCCTTCTCACACAAGCCATCTCGGATGTTCTTTTTTGAAAGCACAGATTTAACTTTGTTTTTAGGCTCTGATTCTGCAAAAGAATACACATTTGCAGACCTGAATCTTGGAAATGAACGGGTAAGATTAATTCACTGCTTTATTGTTGATGTAGAATCAGAATCTTGTATGTATGAACCCAGGATGGTTATGTGATAGTGTTACAGACAGAAAATATCAACTTACTGCCCTTAAAGAGAGGAAAACGTAGGAAACAAAGGCTCCCTATTAGGCTGGATAAGTTGGTGAGAGAATAGCCACAGATCAGAAATATTCATCCTTTAAGCACAACAGTTCAGTCAAAAAATAATACAAAAAACTATGGCATCTTTAATGTGACCAAAACAAACAATTAAATAAATGTCTTCCATATTTTTGTTTAAAAGAATTGTTGGTAAAGCTGTTTCTAGAAGGATTTTCTAATGTCTTGTCTTCCTCCTTTATTTTTAAAAGCACCAAAAGGGCTAATAATGATGAAGTTGGGTATAGGACCACCTATACTGGGTCAGTTGTCACCACTGCAGATCTGAGCCCTTACACTGTAAAGTCACAGTCAAGAATATTGTTTTCCAAATAGATCTGTTGGTGCAGGATAGGCCAAATCTTAAAGTTGCATTTTCTTTTCAACTGCTTTTCTTTCAAATTGTCCTTGCAGTTTGTGTGAATGACTCCACACTCCCACCCCAATCACAGAATGATTTGTTTGCCAAAGCACTTCTGACAAAGAGTTCACAAAGCTGTTCTAGTGGAGAGAGAAATGTGCAGGCAGAGAGGAAGATATGGAGCCTCAAGCTATTCTACACAAACTAGTCTTAAAATATTTAAAGGGATGTTGATGAATATTCTTCCAGCTTTAGTCTTAATTGTTATTGTGCTTAGCTTTGCATTAGTAAAGTCTGCAAGTAAACATGAAAACATTTACAATAATTGTAACATTAAATACAATAACTGACCAGAACTAAAAGACTGGGGAAAAAAATTAACTTTAGAGTTTGTAACCTTACCTCCAGTTGTTTTTCCAGTTTCTTTTTCTCTTTTACTGTGTGGTCCACAGCTACAAGGTTTTGATTTAAGCCATATGATGGTACAGACTTGAATAGCTGATTTTGAATTTGAAATCATTTTTAGAATGTTCCCCATTTCCTCATTCAATCAAACTTTTGAATAATTCTGATGACAAAGTAACTAGCTCTTTTCTGTTTTTATTGTTAAAAATCAAATGAATGAATATTCTAGATAACCACCCAGATGTTTCCCATAAAGGATGCTTTATTGTTGTATTAAACGCAGTAGTGGCAAGGAGTGGCTACACCTGGAAGGGGCTCATCGCCCACCCCAGTGAACTGACAACACATCGTCAAACTCTTTAATGTAACAAGAACAGTTTAGTGCAGACACACATCTCTCCTACTCTGAACTTTCTGTGTGCAGATCATGAGTTCCTCTCCACCATGTGGAGACTTCTTCTTCCGCTGCCGTCAGAGCTCGGTGTTAGAACAAGTGAATTCAACTCCCAGGAACAGCAGAAGTCAGGACTCTGGCCACACTGACAACACAGCTGACATAACAAGTATCGCCAAGAAGTGTAATGAGCTAGACCTAAGCATAATCGTCATCTGGAAGGTTGTATATTTGATGATCTGAATAAGTGTTTTGAAATATTTTACTCTCATCATCAGCTGCTCTTTTTTAACATCATATAAATAATTTCTAGATATGTAAGTCTTGGTTGACAGCCTGTATTGAATCTCCCACATTGTCCCACTTTGCGGTGTTGTAGGATTTTGTCACATTTGTAATCTTAGAAATTAAAGGTAGATGTTGATGCTTTGTGCTTGAGTTCAATGTGTTTTGTGTTACCAGGCTTACGTTGTTGAGGACAATAAACAGCTGGTCTTAGAAGGCCAGCTTCATGTGGCCCTGCAGACAATCGGCAAAGAGGCCAGTTCTCTGATTCCCAAAGAGGTACAGCTACAATCCTCCTGCTTGTCCACAGCTCAGTGGAAGCTACCAGACCTCAGACTACCAGATGTCAGTGCTAATCTGTTTCATTGACTTTGTGTGTGGTGTTTTACCTTACACCTTATGTGAGGTAAAACACACCCACTTTGGGAACCACTGATTTAATGAATGTTGTTTTACCAAGCATTTGTCCTTCTGTTTATGTTTTTGTGTCTCCAGGAAACTCAGGAGGTGATGCTCCTCAGATTTAAGTCGGAGTTGCCTCCTCCAGTCATTCTGCCTTATCCAGAGCTGTCCCAGCTCATCAGAATCAACCTCTGCTACCCTGAAACCTTTACTCATCATTTTGTCAAAGAAAGGTAAGACAGCTGCAGTAGCTGGGCATTACAGTATCACAGTATTAGATTGCAGAAATTAAGACAAACAGACATCCTACATCACTAAAGCCCATTACTTAATTTTCTTAGATTTTTTGATATGCTTGTGGATGAATATTTCTTGTTCTCTGGAGCATTTCAGATTAATATTGTAATTCCACATATAATTAATAAAAATGTAATAATTCCACATTTTGTCTGAACATAAAACAACCTTTTTAAGTTAAATAGAAAACTGAGTCTTCAATATGATGAGATGATAGAGATGATTGAGTTGTTTAACCATACTCAGATGTTGATCGGATCAAAGAGCACTACTATTACCTTCCAGATACAAAGGCAAGTTTGTAATGTTGTGTAAAAGTGTTTTTGTCTCTTCTGCCCTTAGCCTTTGTTTAGTCCCAGTAACTCTGACTCTGTCCAACTGCTCCTTGGTTCAGATAGATGTCATCATTGACCTGCGTCAAAAAAGCAGCAGGTATGTCTCCAACACATAAAAACCAGCTTGAATCAGGTTCAACTGGAATATACAATTGTTATGAAATTTTTATGTTATGAATGGCAAGATTTGAAAAAGTGAATAATGCTCACAATCTTTTAATAGTTTGGATTTCCATTCACATATTTTCACTCTACAGACGATGAGATTGACTACAAATCCAGGTTTTCAGTGACGGCTAGTGTCATGCGTTTCAAGGATCTGTTTATAGAGTCTTCTATGGCATCATTGGCGCAGATAAAAGAAAATTTTTACCTTTTAAGTTCTCTTTTTTTTCCGATATTTGTGAGTAAGGCATTTCTTTACAGCACAACTGCCTAAATTTTCTGTCACTGCAGAGACTTAATGATTTAAATCCATCTTTAATGAATTTATGTCATTAAATCCTGTTAGGTCTTAAAAACCCCTTGGTGGATACATTTAAAATGACTTGTGGGAAGACCATCTGTCCTATTTACCTGAGACAGGTAAATAGGACAGCCTGTAGGCTGTCCTATTTCTGATGACTCTAGAGTCTTGACTTTGAAACTGGTCAACTCATCCCATTTGATTTGCACAAAACTGGAAATAAATGAAACTTTAACATCTAAAGATGGCAATATAATTATACTGGAAATTGACTCCAGTGCACGCCTTACGTTATTGGAACAGTTATATCTCCAGGACAAATGATCCAATCTGCACCTGATTTTTTTGTGCATCAACAGGAAACTCTAGTGTGGTACATTAATGATGACATCACTAAAACCCTGGCCACTGAGAAAATACTGAAGATTATTGGATAACTTGACTTTCTTCTCCTTGTATATGATGTAGAATTAAAACCAATAAGCAATGCTAACTACATATAATTTGTTCCTAAGTCTACAGGAAGTCCTCACCAAACTTTCACCACAAAGCAGGAAATGACAGTAACAACTGTCTGAAAGGCAGGCCTTCAACAAAACTTTTAAGATGTATTGTGAGACCTGTGTTGAAATGAACTGAATGCAATTTGGAATATTTGCCAAATGCGGCACCTAGTGGTAGTGATGCGAGAGCGATGCAAGAATGTCGACGATGCTGATGGAGTGGTGGTACAGCAGCCACAAGGCCAGAGCGGCGCTGATCTGCAAGGGCCACAAGTGCTCCTTCCAGCCTCAATTATATAGTTCTTCCTTATAGACAATTAATTGACACTACACTATTGTATGCTGACTTTTAATGACTGATGTGTGAGACATCTATAGGACTAGGAAAGCTAGTTCAACATGGCTCATTTTCAGGGATCACAATGATTTCACTTCCTGTCATTCTGTGTGGTTTCCAGCTCCGAGTCTCTGGAGGTCCATACTTCGTTTGCTTGGGTGGGTCAGACACAGTACAAGCTGCAGCTGGGGTGCCAGGAGATGGTGCGCCTCACTCTGCAGGCCTGCTTCTTTCGTGCTGGTGTTTACAACCTGAACACTCCACTGGTTTTTGCTAAGCCAGCTGAACACACCACACTGTGTGAATCAAGCCAGCAAACAACCACTCCTGCTCTCATCATCATCAACAATGCCTGTCCTCTCTTATCCTGAGGGCACAGTGGGATGCTACTGAATCACCACATGGACACAAAGGCACAGCGAAGGCACAGTTTTGACTCTTTGACAGAACTACCGGTGACTGATGGTGAACGTATGAATCTTTGTTTCATCAGTGGATGTTTCACTGGTTGGCTTCCTTACACACACAAAGCCACCCTTTCCCTTCTTTACCCCAGACTCCTCATCCTCTCTCACTGTGTTTTACCTGTTTGACCTGAGACAGGTAAAACAGAAAAGTGCAAAGAAAAACTTGCACTTTTCTTTGCTTGCTAACATAAATCCAGGTGGCTCAAATATATTTTGATTCAGACTCAATAATAAAATTTCTGTTTTGATCGGTCCTGTGAGGCCGAAGTGACTGCTGCTCCCACGACCTGTGGGCTGATGGTGCCTGTCTGAACCTGGAGTTCAGACATGTTCAGACAGGCACTCTGCTTAATTCCTGAAGAGTGAGACTCATTTTCTGGCTTTACGTTGGCAGTTTGTCCGAATAGCCGTCCTGCTGCCATTTGGGGATCTTTGTTCGAAAAAGTGATCACTTCCTTCCTTGAATGTGCATCAGACTTTTTTTCTCACAGTGCAGATAGCCCCCCTATAGACTTAGCATCTCATCTGGAAATTATTTATTTCTAATAGCAAATTGGATGTTAAAATAAAGATAATGATGGCAAAAGGCTCTTTTCTCTAGAATATATGGAGTGTAAAATTATTTATCAAAGGAATAATTGTTTACAATTAGTAGCACTAATTGTAAAGTAGCGCTTTTATACCCACCATGACATTTTTTGTAGTGTTTATGGGCCATATTTTCAATCACTCTGGCATATAATTAATTCATGAATAAGTCTCATTTCTCACAAATAAAAAGATCTGACACAAATTGTTGTCATTGAGCCATCAGTTCCTCAACATTCCTGAGCTATTGTGCTGACCTGCCACCAAACGCCTCATAATTAAAATAATCAGGATCTTTTACTGAATAAACCGTGTTGGTTAGAATGTCCTTCACATCGAGAGGAGCCAGTTGAGGTGGCTTGAGCATCTGGTCAGGATGCCTCCTAAATGCTTCCCATGTGAGATGTTCCTGGCACATCTCACTGGGAGGAGGGACTATGTTTCTTGGCTGGCCCGGAATCGCCTTGAGATTCCTTCAGAAGAGCTGGAACAAGTGGCTGGGGAGAGGGAAGTGTGGGCCTTCCTTCTTAGGCTGTTGACCCCACGACCCGACCCAGAATAAGGGAAAGAAGATGGATGTATGTATGTGTGGGTATGCGTGTATATACGGTATGTATGTTTCACACCTTATTCAACTGCGTCAAGCACTTTAGAGCTTTTTCCAAAACCCTGTGTGGTAAAGTCTCCACTTCCTATCTGAAAGCTATCCAAAAACTGGCCCAGTCCAGTCCCACTAGACTTGCTTTTGAGACTGTGTCGCACTGTAGCCAATAATAAAAACAACCCACCTAGTCCACTATCAAATTCCTCCAGTATGGATACATCTCTTAAGGTTGGAATATCTTTAAACAAATTTGAGTTATTCTTGATGATTTCTTCAGAGGGCAGCTTCATCTTTCTGTCTGAGCAGATCCTGGTTCCAGACCATTTTTCATCTGCAGTGCAGCTAACAGGGAATGGAAAGGTTGTTCTGGTAATTCTCCCCAGATTGGAATGAAGTACACTGAAAGTCAATTGTTTCAGCATAGCAGGGACAGAAAGCAGATGCAGATGTAAATCATATTGAAGTAGTGATTAATTTAAACATAGAATCAGGTAAAACATACACATTTAGAATTCAAATGAGTAATTTACAGCACATTGACTGTTAGGTGCAGCACAAGGCTTCACCTAACACCTTTTGGGGGTGTTTCCCACTTTGATCTTGGGGTTTCCAGTCCATATCTATAGATAGATATCTATAGCGGATGAGCCTGCCACAGATTTGTGGCAGGCTCAGCCGCGCCACAAATCTGACTTCAACACCATATTGGACAGGACTTCAGGACGTCCCCCCATGTGAGATGTTCTGTAGATAGATATCTATAGATGCCTACCTGTAGATAGATATCTATAGATGCCTACCTGTAGATAGATATCTATAGATGCCTACCTGTAGATAGATATCTATAGATGCCTACCTGTAGATAGATATCTATAGATGCCTATCTGTAGATAGATATCTGTAGATGCCTATCTGTAGATAGATATCTGTAGATGCCTATCTGTAGATAGATATCTGTAGATGCCTATCTGTAGATAGATATCTATAGATGCCTACCTGTAGATAGATATCTATAGATGCCTACCTGTAGATAGATATCTATAGATGCCTATCTGTAGATAGATATCTATAGATGCCTATCTGTAGATAGATATCTGTAGATGCCTATCTGTAGATAGATATCTGTAGATGCCTATCTGTAGATAGATATCTATAGATGCCTATCTGTAGATAGATATCTATAGATGCCTATCTGTAGATAATTAAATTTAAAAAAATCAAATGTACAAGCGTGGACCTAAGAGGAGAAGCGAGCAGCACAGACGCTGGTGTGGCAGTTGCTACGGCACAGGGAATGAGAGAAGGAGTCGCAGAATGTACAAGACAAGTCGGCAGAGAGAGCGGTATTTGATTAGTCCTTCATAAGCTTTTTGTCTTCAGTATCTTTAGATAGGTATCGATATATGTGCATATAAAAAATTAGCTAATTTGTTGTGCATACAGGTGCTTTATACATGAGGTCCCTGGTGTTTTTTCAGAAAGGTCTCCATTCAGTTATTAAAAGATAGTGAGTCAGGTCTGTTTGCAGAGCTGTGCTTGCTGTCAGTTTTGTGTATTGGGATGACTTTGGCCATTTTAATCAGACTGAGAAATGTGCCAAGTTCAAATGACAAATAGTAACTATATGCTGGTGGCTTCTAACTTTTTTTAGTCAACAATTATACTGAACAAAAATATAAACTCCCCTTGTCAGATATTGCTACCATGTGAAGTTAACTGTAAATGAGCATTTGTTGACATTTTATCGTACAAAAGTAATATTTCTCTTGACTTGTGTATAATTTTTAATCCAACTTGGTGTCAGTGAGCATTACTCAGTGAGATGTTTTTTTTTACTCTGCATGGCTGGGGCATGTCCACTGGGTGATCAGACAAAATGAGCAACAACTGGACAATCCTTGTACTGGGAACAATAAAAGGCCACCCCAAAATGTTAAATTTTGCCGCAAGTCATAATGCCTCAGATGAGACCCCTCCAGCACAAGATGGCCACATCCGGCTCATCCATCTGCGGGATTGGCTAAGACCAGCGACACACACAGCTGATGAGACTATTGGTCTGCACAACAGACGCATCACACCTCAGACTGTCCGTAGCCAATTTGGTCAAAATCAAATTCCTCAACATGACCACTATCATGTTCAAAGCACTGTTAATCCTCTACAAATGGCCGAACCAGAATGCTGACATGAAGATCAGTAATCACTGAAACTATATTCTAAGTTTCTATATGCATTGTGTAACCCAGGTTAAAATAGCCTTCACTTAAATAAAAGCCTTTTCATAATAAATAGCTATAAAATGCATAAATAGGAAATATATACAGAATAAATAGGGTTTAAAATAGTTTAAAATGAATAAAATTTAAAAAAGATAATTACAGTGTAATTTATATTCTTGTATATTTTGTTTGGTTTGAAAGTGTGTGAAACATATTTATTTCGTCAGCAGTTAAAACGGTCAGGTGTGAGGAAAACAAATCTCTTATTCTGTAGTGTCACATTGATGTGTAGTCCAGGTGACTAGCTCCAGACAATCGGATTGCTATGTTCTCTGGCTAGAAGAAGGGGAGAGAGCGAAGAAAAAGGAGAGAGAACGAAGAAGCGAAGAGTTGTGCTAAGTAAAGAAAGAAAGATAAGAGCAAACCGCTGATTAATAAGGCTACCAGCCGTTGGGAACTTTTCCTCATTTTTGGAGGAGGAGCTTCCGAAATTCTTTTGTTGACTACGTTCAGAGTGTTGTCTACTGGACTTGGCCTTTTTGAAGCTCTGCTGGAAACCGGACCGGGAAAATCCGAACCGATTGCCGAATTGGATTCCACGGACGAGAAACAAGATGGCGAGCCGTTAACCCAGGAGTCCTGTAACTGTCGTCCAGCAGGAGCTACGCCCTCTGCTGGACATTTCGAGTCATCCAGACTGGTATGATCTGCCCATGTTTCCTGCTAAGAAAAAGTAGATTCAAAGAACCGGAAATAACCCTTCAGGATCATCATAGAGAAAGACTAGTTTGAAGCACAAGTTATTCAGTTGTTGGTTGTTTTTTTTTAACTGGATTGTTCTATTGTTTTATTTTCGTTCTTCTATTGAGCTGCATTCATTTACATTGTTGGTGTGGAATGTCAAATTTTCTGTTGGGTCAAATAGAAACAAGAAATAGTTAAAATAGGAGATTAAAAACCCATAATTTCTTAAAAAGAACTAAATAACTAAAATAGATTTTAAAAGATTAAAATCAATTAAATTAACAGAATTAACTTGAATTTAAATAGAACTATAACCTAGGTTTAAATAAATAGTGTCCTTTAAAACTTAACATTAGGTTTAAAAATTCAAACAGTGATTAAATTATTCTGGAAGAACAGGGAACTATTTTGAATTTGATTGTGTGTCATTGTATGTCAACTGTTTGTAAAAATATAATTTTTTTTCCTCTTTCTCAACAAATAATAAGCCAGCAGTTAAACTTATTTTTTCTAGTCTGTGGTCATTTATGCACTTACACATTTTCTACTCCAGTAGCCAAACCTACCATTGGTCCCATTGCTATTGTTTTAACTGTAATCACATTGTGAGTGTTACAATTCCATTACCAAAATGTTCATAAAACTCTTTATGACATGGTGCATTTATATTTTTGTTCAGCATATATCACATTACAGTTTGTGGATTTTTTAAATATATTTTTTACAATGTTGATTATTATTGTTCTCAACAGCATTAGAAACATTGAGTGGGAATCCAGGGTCAGATGAAGAGGAATATTTGGGGATATTTGTCACCAACTTATTTGATATCGAAGTGCTCAAGAACAACAGACTTTTGATGGATCTTCAGTTGTTTATATTGTTTCAATTATTTAAAAAGCTTTTCTACGTTTCCCATGGACTTGTGGTTTCTACTGTGAAAAGCAGTAAATACACACCTTTTCCCACTTTTTTTAATGATAAAGCATGAGAAAATAGAAAACAGTGAAAGCATACATTTCCAAATTACAGACTGAAGCAGAGTGTTAAATAAAAAAAGAACAATAGATATAGCATGATGCAGATGTACATATAAAAGAAGAGAGTTCCCTGAGGTTGTTCATAAGAGAGTCCTTGGCTCTCTAATGTGCCAAATCTGAGACAAGATAAACTGAACTTCCTGCTGGAAGCCTGAAGGCAACAACTAAAGGAACTAACATTTAGCTTAGATTGAATCCCTTTCTTTATGGCTTCCCTTTGGTTGTAGCGAAGTGTTCAGATTAGTCGTCCTGCTGCCCTGGAATAGTTTGATACTCTGCTGGCTGTCTATAGAGACAATAGTGCTGAGTCATGAAGATGATGTCAAATGCCACAGAGAACAGACCCAGACCGAACTTGGTGGGATCACCAAACACCAACTTCCACTCATCTGAGGAGAGATAAACACGACAGAAAGCATGAAAATGTGCTGCTCCAGATGAAATTACAAACATCTTTAAAAAGCAGTGCATAGTATTCAACTAGAGCAGAACAACTGTAAGCTAGAGTTCAGTGAGCTGGAAGTCCTCATTATAAAGCTAGTTTATGAGAAAGTTCAACTATCCTGTTAGTCCTCAGTTCTTCTGAGACCAATCACCAGTCAGATTCCTGTGAGGCGCTGCACAGCCTCACAGGAATCTGGCTTTCCTGTGAGGCTTTCATTTCTGCTTTCTGCTTTCATTCAGAAAGCAGAATTGCCTTCACTTTTCCAGTTACATGAGCAATCCGAATTTTTCACTCTTTCCAGTACAAGAACACAAATTGTATAAATCTGCTGGTTGTAAATTTGATTTCATTTTCTCCTGACAACATCATTGATTAGGATTGTACAATATGGCTGAAAAACATATTGCAATAGAATGCTTTCATATCAGTCACTCTCAATCATTATTAGTTTTTGTTTTAAATATCTGAAATATTCTTAAACTGGTGGCATGACCTTTCCTGTTATTGGGGTTAAATATGTGTATTTTTGGTTTTTGGTCAGTAGATGGGGTTGTCAGCTCCAGTATATGAACCAGGAGGTGACAGGTAGTTGACAGGTATTGAAACCAGAAGGGCATACAAGTTTTTGACCCCTGTGGCGGAGTCATTGTAAAGAAAATGCATTTATTTCACAATACACGGTAACTGTGCTAACAAAAGGGTCTTCTAATTGGAACAAATTTTGAATTTGGACTACAAGAAGTTCTTTGGGATTGATTTCACACGTGATCAACAGGTACGTCAGCCACTCAGCTTTTTTTTTTTTGCACGCATTTGTCTTTCAAATGGACCTTGGCACTATGGAAATGGACAAAAATATTGAGACTGAACAAATGGTTATTAGTTGGGAAACTTTGGCTGAAAAACTTGAAGCATTACAACAGGAACAAAAATCTAAATTAAACAACACAGGTAATATAAGATATGAAATTCATGATTACAAAGGTTTAAAGTCCTCCAGATATGTTTAAGTTGTGTGATGATGCAAAATGTTTGCGAGTCTTTCCTGAGGTTTTTGCCACATGATGAAAAAGAAAATTATGAAGTATGGTTTAAAGCAAAAATGATTCCTAATAATAAAGGTATCTGTATTGTAAATAAGTGGCTCTCTCAAACTCCAATTAGCAAAAATAATTATGTTGATGATGATGGTGGTGTAAATCCCTGTCAAATATTGGCAGTGGACATTCACAAAGGGGTGTTAATTCCAGCATCACCTTATCCTGTTAAAGGCAGCAGCTAAAAGGGCCTCAGTTTTGGCCCCTGTGAAGAGAAAGACATGCTATTGAAGACGAGGAGAAACTGAGGAAAAGAAAAAAAGATGCTTCCACTGGAAACTGGCTGAATCTTATGAGGCCCTCCAGGGGACATAGGATTTTTTTTTCTTTTGTGTTCCCTAGTAATAATTTAGAAAGGCACCGTTGATATCATAGTTTTGTGGTGCCTTTCTATACAAAAGCAAAAGATATAAAATGTCAGATATTTCACAAGGAGATATTAACATTCATGGAAAAATCTAACATAATCTTGTATTAAGCCAGAAAGTATGGCTGCCACCATAAGAAAGGCATACAGAGTTCAATTATGCCACATAACTGATCAGTAGATTATTGCAAGGGAGCACAAAAGAAAAAAAAATCCCCATGTCCCTGGAGGGTTCCGTAGAATTGCAGATGGAAATGTATAATTATAGCTGGAGTGTTCCTCACAAACATCAAACTCAGTGAGCTCATATTATAGAAAGAAAACAAAGGAGAAGGGATTAAAGCAAAGTTTGACCCCCTCTGTGAAAGAGCTTCTTCCTAAAAATTCAATTGAAAATCCAACAACTCAACAGGACGATATATGCCAGACTAAACATAGTAATGAATTAAAGATGCCATCAAAGCAAAATAACCCTCTGAATGCAAGACCAAAGAGAAATGTGACAACAAACCAGCACCCTGTGGGGAATCAACATAAGGCCAGTGGAACCCAAATGCAATCAAAAGAGCATTTCATAACCCAACCATCAAAAAGTTTACAATTACCAGAAGAACTTCTGACAAACTGAAATTACATCAGCCTTTCTAAAGCAGCAACAAAGTCTGACTCTCCCACCATGGGACATTCCTGTTTTTGATGGTGATCCAATGCAGTACAGAGCCTTTATTAAAGCCTTCGAACAAGAAGTTGAAATCAAAACAATGTGGACTGTCTGTACTACTTGGAACAATTTACTAAAGGTCAGCCTTGTGAGCTGGTGGGCAGTTGTCAGATTATGGCTAGACTGTAGAAAAGACTTTAATACAGGAACATTTTGGAAAATGTTCACCTGATATTCATAACCACTCATTATTAGAAGAGGGAATCCAACAATAGAAGCAAATCTACCATTGTTGTAAGACTGAATGATCATCTGTAGGATACTGAAGACTCCACCAGTGAAGTCCAGCAGGACGTTGCCGATGCTCCAGCCCACAGTGCTTTGTCTCCTGTAGTTCATATAGGCCTGGAGGCAGGCAGAAATAGAATATCAATTTATGAAAAAGTTGATAATAAGGCAAACTACAGAACACTTTGACTATATGCTGTTGTTGTCCTCCTTCAGCTTACCTGTGGCACATATTTGATCAGAGTGACTGCAAGTTTAATGTAGGAGAAGTAGTAGAGGTACTCCAACCAAGTAATTTTGTGGGCCACAGCAACAAATAGGCTGATCAAAGCAAATGCCCAACCAATCAGCAACAAAATCCTGGCAGTCCATGACACCCTCTGACCCCCCTTCTGGAAATGACAGAACACTGTTAAGACTTAAGGAGGACACAGTGTTTCAGTAATTTGTCCTTAATGTCTGTTTTACCGTCGGCTAGACAGAACGTCCCACTCTACCTCATAGAGAGCAGCCTGGCTGACGTAGATCACACAGAACAGCAGAGCATGCAGACTGAAGAAGACGTCATTAGCATTTACAGGATTTATCCCATTGGGATTCTTCTGAAGAAATTCCTCCTACAGAGAAACACACAGCTGAACATTAAGCCCTGAATGCTTTCCCATTCTGTCCAGATGTCTGGCTTTCTGCTGGCTGAGTGAGGTCATCTGAAACAATGAAGCTATCTTGGAAATAAAGTTACCTTTATATAGGGTATCCAGAAGAGGCCAATGTTGAAGACACTGTAAGCAATGAAGCCTGTTAGATTGAGAGCCAGGAAGTCGAAGTTGAGACCTACAACACTGAAGAGAAACAGAAAGCAACTGAATCCATTCCACTTTGTCTAAATGGAGACGTCACAGGATGACTTCAGAAATGAGACCTGATTGGAAGAATGCATCTTGACCTTGTGACCTTATTGTGAGTATTAGAAAATTATTTGACCTCTTTTTCCAGGACAGTTTTGTTATAATTTAAAACAGAAATATTCCATGCAGCCTCAGAAACTTTCATTCCAGACTGAACTCAGATCTGCTGGACAGAAACTTTGTAACCTTATCTGCTCTAGAACAAATTTCAGCTCTAAAATGAGAATATTATGATAAAGACCTCAGAAAAGGCAACCCATATATTCTGTAGATTTCTTCCACAAAAAGGGAAATATTTGTGATGATGAATCAGAGACATTTAACCCTTTTCTAATCCTCTAATCATTGGAACCATTTTTGTATAAGATGATTGGTTTCATTTAGCTGTCAGGATAAAGCCTGTACAATGTTCAGAGCAACTGACTTAAATATCTTTTTAATTTGGCATTGTTCAAAACAGTCCATTGTTTTAAAGGAATTAATAATCTGTGGTCAGCAAAAGGCTGGGTGCTGCATCATGGAAGTCACATTACCAACATAATTGTTGGGTTGAAACAAAAGCTGAAAAAGAGCCCATGACCCAACAGTGTTTTCCCATAAAATATCAATACTAATGATGTTAGTGTAGAAATAATAGTTATAAAAATAATCTCATAGGATAATAAACCCTGCCAAAACAATAGAAATGTTTTAAATCATGGACCTTTAAAGTAATGCTAAGGAGAAAACCACCCAAAGCTGAACAAGGCACAAAATTCTAACTAACTGATAAGACACAAGAACTACCTTTTCCTCCTCCAGTTTTCCCAGGCTTGTGGATAGAAAGACACTGACCAGGTCACAAAGTAAATCCATCCAATGACCTGAGCCACTACTGACAGCACACTGCTGTGGATCACTATGAAGCGTATCCTGGACGACAGACTGGACAGAAGGAAACAAAGACAGATTACAGTCCAAAATGACACTCTGCTTTATTCTTTTTAATGCAATCATAATGAAAGGGAATAGATGGTAGTCGGAAAATACCACATTAGATGAAACAACATATAATTACTTATCAAATGGAAACTAAATGATCAGTCTGTAATGTCTTAGAGTTTTTCTGCAGTTCTAGCTAGCTGACATCCTCCGAAAAGCAAATAAGTGGTGAGCTCAACAAGGAACTTCTGTTCACAGAAACATTCAGTATATTAAAAATACAATCGCTTCAACACTCTATTACTAACACACTCAGACACTTCTCTAAAGTAGTCAAACCCAGACATAAAACGTAACCCACATTTCTTCAATTCAACGTGGGATTTATGATTGGAACGTCATTGTGTGATACAAAGCAAGGCGAGGAGGAGTCATTACTGAGGAGGGTCAGGGTCAAGGTCATGACCTCCAAAACATTACAGCATGTTGGTTCTGTACCCACCTGTCGAGGTGTGTGTTGTTGCTGAACAGGTGTGCAGTCACCTGACCAACATCATGTGTTATCACAGTAAAATTGGCTGAGGTAGCTTTCTCTGGAAGCAATACCTGAATGAATATGAGAAATAATGAGGATTGTTGGACAAAAAGCTCCAAACTCTTCATATTCAATCTGCTGTCTGACAGACAGACACAGACAGGATTTGTAGAAAAAAGAGAAATGAAAGATTCTGTTTTTGAAGAATTTTTCTAATAAACTAGCAAGTGCAACATAACTTATTCTTTATAAAGAAAATCCTTAAAATTAGCATTCATGAAACAAATCAATGTATGAGGCGATAATTGTGAGTTACTAGAACTGTTACCGTAACAACAGTTCAAGTACATCTTTCTTTTTGTTTGCTGATCTCAAAGTTCACAGTTTAGCTCAAACTAAGAAAACCTCCAGCTGAACTTAGGAACATTACATGGATCCAGTTTCTCCTCTAACTCCTGATTAGTTCCATTCAACATAACCTTGCATCATATTTGCTTTTGAATGTCACCTGTTCAGGCAGAGTGATTATTGATGAGTAGTTCTCCTGGGAGCTGAAGGTTACATTCAGGTGAATCACTGCAGACTGATTGACAGCAGAACTGAGGAAATATGCATCATGAATTAAACAGTCACACTTCAGTTATGTGATGCAGAAAGACAGAGAAAAGAAAACGTATGTGCTCCCTCCCCAGATTAATGCTTGTTTTCCCTGTTCCATTTAAAACTGCATTATTTATGGTAACTTTTATTTTTAAAATGTTTCTTACACATTTGTTAAAACAAGGTCATGTCACCATGTCATGACAGTATAATATAAGACAGATTATCTGAGAAACAAAACAAGCTCCTCTACCTTCCTCTGTGGACCTGCTGTCATCTGAATAGAAACACCGTTCTGTCAGAAACAACCAATCAGAGCCAGGAGGAGGGGCTTAGTACTGCTCACACCCTCCTTTTTCCCCTGTGCTACTTTACACCTGGTTTACCACAACAGAGTCAGCCATGAATGCTAAGGCTAGATAGCATGGCCACCGATGATGGTGGACAAACTGTTTCTCCGCCATCAATACATTCTAATCTTTCTCTCCTAGTAAAATAATGGAGCAGCTCTTGGAATAACTTTGGTGAAGTGGCCTTGCCGGGGAAGGCAGTAGAGAGCCTTCACAGACTTTCTACTGCCCTTTAGATTATGAGTTGCTTTGTTTTCTTTTATAGATTTGTCAGTAGCCAAAGACTTTACTGAAATGATTTACAGATCAGGCAATAATCAGGCTTGTAAAACTGAACTCATCTTTCTAAAAATTCGATCATCATTTATCAAGGGGAAGGACAATTACTTTGCTTCCAGCAGGAAGAAGTAATTAGACAAACAAAAGTTCTGTACAAACTTTTATCTCAACAACCTTCTCCAGGGAAACTTGAACAGTCAATTAGAGGCTGGTCCCAGGGGCTCTGGTAGCTTTTACTCTTTAATGAATGAAATCATCACGCAGCTATGATCTTCAAACAGGTGCTTTTGAGTTAGTGCTTTGTTCACCTCAGTGTATCTGTGATTACCTGGAAGAAATGGTGACAATGGCTGAAGAGCTTTGCTCAATTGTAACAGCATCTGGCGCGTTCAGGCACACAGCGGACTCTAGAGGAGAAAAAATGTCCAGGAACAACCAATGAAATACAGAACATGTTCCCCACAATCTGGAGAATTTTCTGCTATGTTCACAGCCTCAGTCAGTGATTTTATGACTTTATTACAAAGTTGACAATGTCAGCAAGGAATCAATGGCATATGTTAATTTAACTAGCAGGAAATCAAAAATCTGATGTATTTGGGAAAATTTCCAGTCTACAGTGCCAGTGAGGAGATGGCTGCAAACATGTGATGATTTCAACAGCCTGCCGATAGAACATGATCTTTCTTTTTTTTTTATAAATGCTATTCCACATCAACACCAGCTGTAGTAGCACTGTCTCTTTTCCAAGGCATGTCAGTGTCACAACTTAAGACATAAATGGATTCCTTCATTGAGAAAAATGTTACATGTTTTTATTATGAGACATTTTATAAATGTCAACTTTGTTGCTTCATTTCACAGACATGATGTTCTCCAAACTTCAGAATAATCCCAAGCGTATGAAGTCAGATTTCACCTGGAAAGACATGTTTCATCTAGACATGAAAACTAAAGAAGACACTGCTGTTGTTAACATTTTACTTTTCTCTAACATAATACCACTGAATCAGTTCTTTTGTATGTTTGTGTCTCCTCTGTCTTCTCAAAGCTCCACACTCAGTCATGGCTGTTAATTAAGATGGCTGCTCACACTCAGCCATGTTCTGGTTCTGCTGGAGGTTTCTTTCTGTTAAAGGGGAGTTTTCCTCTGTGCTGTCACTGCATGCATGCTCAGTAAAAGGGATTGCAGCCATCATCAACACATCAAAACCTGCAACTTTTCTCATACATTTACAACCAGAAGAGCCATTTTACCCCCAGTCCAGCTAAAGAAAACTTTTAGAGATGAAAAGCTCACCTGACATTTTTTTAAAATTAGAACTTTCATTTTTATTAAATATTTCTAAAACCATAGAACTTTTACATAAAAGAAGATGCATGTTTTATTCTTTAGGTTGTTGATATTTGAGGAAAATTATGTTAAAAAAAAAAAAAAAAAAAAAGAAAACCATAAGATTTCCAATTGGTGTCTCTTGTGGCAGACTCCCTTCAACTGTTATTGGTGGTATCCAGGGAAACCACCTGCATTTAGACTGTTAAACAAAGCTTTGGCTTGGTCTGGCAGGAAGACAACCCAAAGTTATCCTAAAGCAATATGAGACAGTCCTCAATCTTTCTATTTTTATTGAGATGCAGTTTTTCTGGCTATTTGTGTTTCTTCTGTTTTTACCTTAAAGAAAAATAATTTATCTACAAAAAAACTAAAAAAAATTAAGCAGTCAAGTGGATTTCATTTTGTTGGTCAAAGTTAAAGAGCCTGTCTTACTGGAGGACTTCAAGCTACTGGTTAAAGCCCAAATTTTCTTCTGGTGAATATTGGTCAAAAATGACAGATGATTGTCATAGTGTGTTCTCAGTATTAAACATCTAAGGATCACCTCAAAGGTAATGGCAGAGACAAAAAGTAGGTAAGACAGCACTCACCAGAAATGTTGATCAGCAACTCAAAAAGTAACCACTTCTTCATCAGATGTAGAGCGGCCATTGCTGCCATGGAGACAGCAACCTGAAACTTACAGCAAACAAAGCCTGTTAGCAGAGACTGGAGGCAAACATCCTGGAGAAAAAAAGGACTTTAAAGGCTTTTCAGGTGAGATACACACAAAGTGGAACTACTTATCTCTACTGGAGAAAGGTCTGAAGAATGGGGAATGGACTAATAGTTTATCCAGCTTCTACACAACAGCCACAAATACATTTATACACCACTACACTGACCATAGATACTTGGGCTCATTGATGTGTGGGAGTGGAGGACGCAGCAACTGAACCATCAAGTTTTTGACTGAAAGAAACAGATTCCACTCCTGTTACTGTCATACTCTGAGAGCAAGGCATTCTGGGAGATGACTGCAGAATCTGATATGGGCTCAAGACGGTTTTCTGAGTCAGCTTCATCCAAAACTTTCAACTTCCTCCATGTTAGACCCCAACCACATAAGTTTCCCTCACTGATTTAAGGGGGATTTAGTGAACAGGCACAATACAGTTGAGAGAATCATTGGGAATCAGGACTGTGCTACTTCTGATCACGTCTGACTGACAAATCTCAGTTTGGTCATGATCAAATGTGGAGGGCCAACTTTGGACACCCCTGGCTTTGTCAGTCAAATTCTACTGCAATGTCCGCATTGCCTATAATTGGCCGGTTTCTTTATACTGACACATTTTTAATACGAGTTGTATTTCACAAGTAAGTTTTAAGTTTGAAAAAATCCAATAGTTAAGTAGTAATCTGATCATGAGGTCTGACCCTATAGCGTGTTTCATAGAATTTAATTGAGATAACGTTTGCTGGTTTAATTATAATAAATAAATAATTTTTGTATAACTGCAAAAACGGTTCCTAAATGTGGAGACATAATTAATGGGTCATTTAAATATTCCAACAGTCCACTTGCGGAAGCAGCCATGCAGAGGAACAGATCGTTGTTCAAACGTCCATCAGCGATCTTCGCTGCGTTGCAGCAACAAAAGATTCTCTCCATAAAGAGGAAATTCATCAGTTTCGCTTTCAAGTCTTCCGTTTGTTTTTCGGTTAGCAGAGCATGGTTCATAAATCCCTGCGAAAGCTGCGAACATCCATCAGCTCAGATGATGCTCAGCCTGTCAGCTTAGTTTTCAGACTGTTTCTGTCTGTAAAAGGAGCTAAACAAAGAGAACAGGAAAGAGAATGGCAGAGCTGTTTAAAACAAAGACACAGAATAAGGTTAACAGAAGCTTTACCTTGTCTTATCTGTCACCTCCACATCAGCTGACTGCTCTTCTTCTTCTTTCCTTCTCCTTCTTCTTCTTTAGTGTTTTCTGGTAGTTTACAAACTTTGTGCATTACCGCCATCAACTGGACGGAGATATAATCCATCCATCCATCCATCCATCCATCCATCCGTCCGTCCATTTTCTGATCATCCTTCTCCCTAACGGGGTCAGGAGGTGCGGTGTCTATCTCCAGCTGCGTTCCGGGCGAGAGGCGGGGTTCACCCTGGACAGGTCGCCAGTCTGTCGCAGGGAAACACAGAGACAAACAGGACAAACAACCATGCACACACACTCACACCTAGGGAGAATTTGGAAAGACCAATTAACCTGACAGCAATGTTCCCTCTAAGCTGCGCGCCTGCGCAATCGCGCACTGCTCACATATTCTCAGCGCACAAGAAAATCTATGTAGCGCATAAAATAAAGTCCAACGTAAAGTGGACATTGAGCTCAGACATCAGTTTTGACTATGGACCAATAAAAAAAAATTTCCGTACTACTTTGCGATCGAACTCAGTGAGTGACAGGAATCCAGCCAATGATACGATACGGTTCACTTTCGCTACGCAGCCAATCAGCGCATGCTGTGTGTACGTGGGTTACGTGCCTTGGTCATATGGTCGTGCAGGTGAGAATAGTGCGGTAGAGTTAAGAAACGTGAAAGTCATCACCTTATCATGTCTACGCGGGTGTAGTGAAACCTGTTTAATTTAATGTCATTCAATGTTAAGTTAATCTACTGAGGCTATCCAGTGGCAAATGTTATAATTTTGTCTATTGCTGGCTTACTGACGCCTTCTTGTGGTTACTTTTATTACTACGACTTGTTTACCAGAAAGGAAGAAAGCCGTTGGTCCATGTACTCCGAAAGGGGCCCTCTTTGTTGTGTTTTCTTTAATCTAAGTGCAGAAACGGCATCGTCTGTAAATGCTGTTCTAATTTGATTGTCATATAAATCATAATTTGTAACCCGTTGACATGTTTTATGTGACGATAGATATATTTTTTTACTCGTGTTAGCCCGACACGTTAGCCTACTGGCATTCATTTTCTGTACCTTTGTGTGTTACAGTTTTACACGATTCTCATTAAACCCTGCTAAAGAACCAAATGGAGTGCTTCTTGGTGGACGGATGGGAAAGTGTTTAGCTACCTGTATAGCTGAGTTACTGTTAAAAGTCACAGTGCTTAACGAGGCCAGGACAGTGGGACATCCACTCACCAAGCCAAAGTAAAAAAAAAAAAAAGAAATGCACTTCTTCTAAGATCAAATGGAATCAAATCAAATGAAAGGAATTGTCTGCATTTGATATTGAAATGTTGAGTTCAGACTTTTGACTATGGATAAGCAGACATTTGTACACTGGCAAAGAAGTATGAGGCCATTCTCCTCCACCCACAGATTATGGAGGCCATTAATAGTCAATATGCTGAATTCAAGTAGATAAAGCAAGAAGCAGACTGACCATCAACCTGGGCTAAGTGTACAACCACTGGAGAAGTGAGAAGAAGTGAGAAGCGAGAAGGGCAGACATAAAAAAAACTGTAATTAAATATTTTACAAGAATTTATACTGCATCACAAGCTACAGAAAACATTTCATTGTGCAAAATGTGAATGTTTTAATATGAACAAACATTTATGTCTGAAAGGTGTAATGTCTCATTTCTCACCCTGGCTGAAGCAGGACTCTTACTTATAGCATGCATCTCATGAACAGCAATGTTTTCTTTTTTTTTTTTTTTTTTAATTGAGCAAATCACTTAAATTAAAAGCAAACGAATGAAAATTGCTGATGTAATTTGATTTTTTTTAATAAGCCATGCAACTTTCTATGATCCCAGATTTATGATACTTGTGCGTGGCCACGCCGTGTACACTGATGATGCTCAGAGAAGCATCATCAGTGTACACGGTGCTCCCAGGAAGCTTGTGTGTACGCCCAGACACATGAAAAATTAGAGGGAACATTGCCTGACAGTCATGTTTTTGGACTGTGGGAGGAAGCCGGAGAACCCGGAGAGAACCCACACACCCACAGGAGAACATGCAAACTCCGTGCAGAAAGACCCCGGGCCGGGAATCGAACCCAGGACCTTCTTGCTGCAAGGCGGAGATATAATCCATAAATTAATTTTCCTTATTTATCTTCAAAACTTAGAATAACTAAATTATATGCATACTTATACACTCACGCAAACATATAAACTTAATCTTCTCAGCTAATTTTGTATCTTTTAAATATTTAATGAGTGCTTGAATTATATCATTTGATTGCTGCTTCTCTAATAAATTATCCATATTTATTGACCTCCCCATCACCCTCTTCAATTCTTTCCTCTCTTTTATATATTTCTTACAATAAATCAACACATGTTCTACACCTTCTGTTTCACCTTCTGTTTACAAGCCATTTACAATCATGGATGGATGTTTTCCTATTATTTTTAAACCACTATTTAAACTAGTATGCCCAATCCTCCCCCTGTTTATCCATACTTCCTCTCTCCTATTCATTATATTATTGTTATTCATGATTACCTCCCTCTGTATTTTATGTCATTTCCTTCCTCTTTCTTCTAAATTCCATCTCTTTTATCTTTAATAATTACTTTAATTTTTGTTCTACTTAGTGGGACTTTATAATTTCTCTCTCCTTAACTGCTTCTTTAGCCAATTTATCTACTTTTTCATTACCTACAATTCCTTTATGTGCTGGAACCCATGTGAATTGAATACCTATTTGTTGTTGCATATATCAAATAATTAACTTAATCCAGAAGATCTTGACGGCTATCAGATTTTCCACTTATAATACTGGTTAAACAAGACATTGAATCTGAACATATATCTGCCTTACTAGGCTTCACCTCCAGCACCCATTGCAAGGCCAAAATAATTGCCATCATTCCTGCTGAAAAAATTTATAAATTATCTGTTGTTCTTCTTTTTATAATAACTTTTTGTTTTGGAATATAAACTGCTATTTCTGTTTTACCATTTGCCTCTTTTGATGCATCTGTATATATTTGTATTATATTTTCATACATTATTTCTAAATACTGCTGAATAATTTGATACAAACCTCCACAGGACTTTTCTATTTTTTTGGTTTCTATATGTACTATTGGCATTTCAAATTACCATGGGGCAATTTTAGATTTAATTCCAGTTTTACAACATGCTATATTGTTTATCCCCAACTGATCTGCGTAAATATTTCCTTCCCATCCAAAACTCCTTATGTTATGGCCATACTCCCAACATTCTCTGAATATTTGTTTAGTAGGGTAATTTTCCTCATGCTCTTGTAAATTTAACCAATAATTTGCTGACAGTTTCATCCGTCTTAAGTCTAGTGGCATTTCTCCGGTAATGACCTGAAGAGCAGTTTTCTTTTTTTTGTTTTTTATTGGCGGATGGCAACCAACTTAAGGTGCATTTACCGCCACCTACCAGCCTGGAGTTTGGTCATCAATGATCTCAGAGGGAATAAAATAATACACACCTCAATGGTATGCACGAATGTGCAAATTCACATCCATACACACTCATATATGTGTTTATATGCATACGTATACATACATATATACTTTAAATACTATTAGATAACCCAGTGGGTTTTTTTTAAATTTCATTAATTAATTTCTAATAGAATTTTATTTATTTCCTAAAAGATTTATCATAGAAAATTCTATTTTCTCTCTATTTAGTATCGACTCTAAGAGCTGACGTTCCTCTGAATACTTATTACATTCTAATAAGACATGTTACACTCTATCTGATTACAATAATTACAAATCCCTGTTTCATGTTTTCCTATTCTGAAAAGAGAACTATTAAGTCCAGTGTGACTGACCAATTCTAAGTCGAGATATAACTACCTCTTCTTTCCGCCTTCCATTCATACTACTACCCCCCACAGTCTTTTGAATTTTATATGAATCTGTACCAGAGTCATGATTAACCCATTGTTCCTGTCAAACCTTAAGAATTTTATTTTGAATAATAGATTTCCCCTCACTCTTGCTGAAAGGAATACTTAAGTTTATAAAATCTGATTTCAGGCCCTGTTCAGCAATATACTTCTTCATTTCCTTCTATACATGAACAGGAATCCAGAGAACTCGAACAAAACATTTCTTATTATGTAGCCGAACTAATAAATAATATATACCTAATAATAAATCTAATCTACAAGATTTGTCAGATTTTATACTTAGTAATGCAGCTTGACTATCTGATGCAATTATATATTTACTTTCTTCACTAATATTATCAAGCAACCATTCTAAAGCTAATATTGTTATGTCCAGGGCTAGGAGTTAGTAATTTGTCTTAATAATTTCTACAGTATTGGTTTATCTGTATTTTATCTTGAAGGCAAATTTTGAGGTAGCAGTGCATTTTCAGAGAGAAAGCCTGTTTATTCTGACAAGAACAACAAATAGAAAAGAACCGTGTTACCGTACCGTAGTCCTCTCCCACATGACATGACAAAAAGGGGAAGAACCATATCACACAACTTGTTAAATATGAAAAATAAACCTTTCTATACAACATACCTGACAAGAACAACAAATAGAATAGAACCGTGCACTGTAACAAATTGCTGTAAAAAAAACGGCCAAAACTGAACAGTATCATACTGTTTCTATTGAAAACGGTACTGCACCGTGAAAAACAATGCATTCTGGGCAATTATTACTGTTTTTAATAAAATACTGTAGTATACTGTGAGTAGCATTGCATTTTGGGAATGATGTTAGATTCAACGGTAAGGAGGCTGTCTTTAAACAGAACGCTACTGTATTTCTGAAGAAGACATGTTGTTGTGACATGTGGAAGCAACCTCTAGAACAGGGGTGCTCAAGTCCAGTCCTACCATCCTGCAACTATCAGATGCATCCCTGCTCCAACACACCTGAATCAAATGAATGACTCGTTACCAGGCCTGTTCATAGCTGAGCCTGATCTACTGGAGTAAGGCTGCAACTAAAAGTTGCAGGACGGTAGCTCTCCAGGACTGGACTTGAGCACCCCTGGTCTAGAACTTTCTTTACAAGGACAATCCTTTTGAATCTTGCATTTTATGAGCCAATCCTAAGGTAAGTTATTTTTGATGATTCATATTTACAAATATTGACATGTTTGGAAGCTCTTTTTCTTTCTTTTGTGTAATTTGACTTGAATTGCTATGATTAGCTGCTAAAGTGAAATTGGTGAATGGATATCAACTGGGAATTTGGAGTTTCACAGAGTTGACTTGGCAGAAAACTGTTTAAATGTTATGCTGGTGTCTCTTTATTAACTCTTAACATTCAAAAGTTTGTCTTCATCTAGCACACATTAAACCCTGACTCCTTAAGCATCATATGCTAATCTGAAATTACTGCATTTTCAGGCGCTTTCTTGATATCAACCCGGACCAAGGCCAGCTGTAGCAAGATCATCTCCAAGGGGACAGGGAAAATTTTTCAAAAGAAGTCGGTCACTGTCATCCCCCGTGTTTCAACTCTGCTGAAAAACCTCATGGACTTTGAGTGGAATTTCATAGTGAGAACTTTCTAACCAAGCTATAGATATTGTTGCCCCTCCACGCAAAAACAAACAAAAAACTATACAGGCATGAAAGCAACTTATCCCTGAACAGGAGTGTTCTTGAGAGACTTATTTGGTTTAAAGGTCAGCATAATCTTAAGACATCTCTTTTAATTAAGAGCATACATTTTGTTAAGGCTCCCACTTTCTGTTCTTCAGATGTAATTTTGACTGCACAGGCACCATGTTTAACTTATCTTGGCAGTGTTGTCTAATATTGTTTCACTGTTTTATATTTTGAAGTTGGAGCTCTGATTTTGCCCTAAAGGAAATTCAAGTCTAAATGTTTCATTTAAATTTTTATCAAACTAAAATTTGCAATTTTTTCTATGCTTTAGATTGAAAGTTAAATGTTTTATTTGTTTTATGTTGCATCATGTTGTTCCTCACTTCCACAAAAAGTTGTATTTTGTATTGAAAAAGTAGTGTGCTGAGTTGTACAATGCATTATTTCCATAATTTATTTCATACTTATTTTATTTCAGACTAATCAAAAGGCCACAATTCATGCTTTATTCAAATACTCTTTACATCAGTTAAGAAATTTATTCACAAAATAGATGGTGATTTTCTTACTGTTTTTCCAGAATATGACTTACTTTGGACAGTTTACCCTCAACATTCTTGTAGAAAAGGTTTAGGTTTAAGGTACACATACGTTGTCGTTTCAAAACCTTCATCTTTATTATGTGGCCCACTAAAGACTGTGTATGAGTCAATGTTTGAGTTGGTTCTTTTTTTTTTCCAAGTAAATGTTTGACATGATGGAACTTACATTTTCTAAGTGTTTTTTTTTCATGTTTCTATTTCATATTGGAAATTTACAGTAGTAAGCTGTATGTGAATTCAACAGTAATGGTACCATAGAAAAACGGTAATATACTGGCAACACAGCTGCCAGGAGTCTACTGTAAAAATACAGGGCAATTTGTTAGTGTAGAAAACGGTAATATACTGGCAACACAGCTGCCAGTAGTCTACTGTGAATCTGATAAAAAAAAAACAGCAATGTGCTGTAATCAAAAGATTTCTTTTGTGACGGTAATATACTGTAAAGTTGATTACAGTAAGGGTACTGTATATTAACGGTATAATGCTGGCAACCCTGCTGCCAGCATTTTACTGTAAAAATACAGGGCAATTTGTTACAGTGCAGTTCTTTTCTGAACAGTCATGGGTGTGCTCAAAGACTGACGTGGATTTTTATTACAGTATGCGGAGAACTGGTGGACCAGTAGAGAAGCTCACTGTGCTAATTTGTGTTGACCATTTATTACAGAACATTCATAAGGGGAAGCGTAAGGGGAAGCTGTCACATATATATCTGTAAATGTGATTATGATTAAGTCAGTGCCTCACCAGCTACGAACCTCACTGCTGACAGCGTATGCTGATCTGACAGCATACGGGTCATGTGTCTAAAACCCAGCAATAAGAGCTCTGTCGCTCTCAAAATGGCATCATTCTTGATGAACTGACTGCATTGGTAAGGCTTTGAAGTCTACGTTTTCACCTTAGACATTTCAAAACAAATTTTTGTGACAAATAAAAAAGTGGTTTAATTAGTTGCTGCTGGTGGTGGTGACACAGTACATTGTGGGATACCTTGCTGGCCAATACCTAATGTTACATATCAACTTATGTCCTCAAAACTCAATTATTGCAACATATAAAAACAAATGAAGTTATGTTGTGCGATTAAAATATTGCAAACCTAAAATAACTTGATGCATTTTGTTTAGCCGTACCTTCATGACTTCTAGCTCAAAATCGCCTATTCTTCAAATTACGGCTGGTCTGTTGGTGATTCGGAACTCTGATGGCTCATGGGTTGGTGTTTTGAATTATTGAATAAAAGCACTTTACTTTTTCAAGTAAATATTTTTTAAATATTTTGTTTGTTGTGTGGATTAACTTAAAAATATAGGCTCTTTGTGCTTAAACAATTTATTTTCTGAAAAAATTACAATCTCTTGTATTTTGAACAAATAATTTTTTTCCACCTCATTTGTGTAAAGATACTTACTTGAAATTTTATGGCTGATTTCACAGATTCAGTTATTTTATATTTTCTTCACCACAAAATCATGTTTATCAGTGTATAAAGTCACTATAATATAATTGAAAATGTGGGATATATTCTTTAGCTCTGTCTCAAATGTACACTTAAGAAACCAATAAGATCTTAGTGAGAAAGTTGTGCAAGAGATGGGACATGGAAAGAATTATTGCTACAAATAGTGTTACAGAAATATAAAACAGTAGCTGATATTGCTATGATTTAGCATTTTGTCCTACACCCTCCGATGAGGTAGGTGGCGGTATGACTCTCTCGCTGGTATAACAATGCCTCATTAAGCAGAAAGGAGCATTGGTCCTTGTGTGACCTGAGGTTCGCAGCTAGGTGGAAATCGGTAATTAAAAGCGAGTTTCCATCCAGACAGTCTGTAATGGCCCAGCTGCTTCTGAAGAAGCTTGACTGTCTTCACAGCTCGGTAACCCGGTAAGAGTTCCAGCTGGTTCTAAACAACATGTTGTCATGTTAGCTCGGTTCGACAGCGCGCCTCATCTTTTTAATGTGTGTGTGTGTGTGTGTGTGTGTGTGTGTGTGTGTGTGTGTGTGTGTGTGTGTGTGTGTGTGTGTGTGTCTGTTCGTACACGTATGCGCACGTGTGTTCGTAGCTGTATATTCCCTTGCATATCACTCGCAGGTTCCCGGCCAGTTTTTCCAGCTATCCCGACTTCCTTCCTCCACAGTCACGGAGCTCAGCTGAGCTCCAACAGGACGTCAGTGGTTCGCTGCGGGCGGCAGAAGTATGAGCGGCAGTACCCAGTCCTCTTGGTCCGCCCAGACGGCTCCACTGTTAGCATCAGATACCAAGAGCCCAGGCGGCTTCTCCTGGTTAGTGGTCCGCTGGGGCTTTCTATTTATGGTCCTTCCCAACGTTTCTGCACAGAATAGAGAACTATAGTGTTCTTTATTTTTGTCAGTGTTATCAGTAGTTTATATTTTTGAATTCAGGATCATTACGGAACATTGTTTACAGAAATCAAAGTTTTCTTCCAAGCTATTTTCTCCCTTTTTTTCTAAAAGAGAACTCGAATTTCTGTAAGTAGTTTTGGAGCTATGTGTATTTGTGTACACTGTTTATAGAGGACCACTTTCACAATGTTTATCAACAAAGTGAGGATCTTTTCCAGGTGCTCACTTTCTTTTTCAGTTCTATTGCTCTCTAATTGGTGGATTTTAAAGGGATGGTGTCAGTTAAGTTTCATGGTAATGTAAGGAAAAATGGCTGGGTTTGGCATTAAAGCAGTTACTAAACAGAATGGAAGTCAATAAAAGTACTCAGTTTGTACAGAAGCATAAGGAGGTGTTTGTGTGTTTGCCTGTGACATTCCTCTTGCAAATGGGAATGTCTGTTAAAGTTGAATAAAAAACAAACACAATAAGCTGAAGGCTCTCCATCAATCAAAAGTTAGTCTTCCTCTAAAGCAGCACTAATTTAATTAATTTAATTTAATTTCTTATGAATATCCAACATTTTTCTCACTCCTTTTTCTTGCAGTCATAACATCTTGATCATTTTGATCTTCAGCAGACCAGGCATTGGAGCAGTGAAAATCCATCTAAATTTATGTTCAACATGTGTAACTGGATTCTTTCTGCGTTGTGCTGGTTTTAAGTGATCAGGCTATGGCACGCTTTGTCTTTAAAAGGATGCTTCTTTGATTTATTCTGACAAAAACAACCATGATATACATAACTGAAATTAACTTATTAAAAATATAAATAAACTGGATGCATTTAGATAGGAAATAAATAGTGCACGCCTCTACCCAGGAGAACATGACAAAAGGGGAGGGCCTAAGGGGCACAAACATTTTAAGGACAGTACCACAGAAGAAGAAATAAAAAGGAGGGGCTTCCGCTCTTAAAGTAACATGGTTAAACGACAGAGATTTTCAGTCAGGTAGAGAAAAATACAAATAACCAAAAAAAAAAACGACATTTTGTGTAATTATAACAAATGAGAAGTATAACCACGTTACATTCAGCCCCCTAGAATTACACAAAATGAAAAACGGTGATAAAGACACTGGATGCAAATACAAAATAGTTTTTTCTTCTCTTTTTTGCAACAATGTAACACATCAACAAAACAGCTACCCTACAATAGGGTCAGGAGACTACAGATCTCTCGATGTCTAGCAAAATCTCAGAGTATCCCATGGACAACAAGAGGTGCCTTTTACACCCCCATATACAGAGTAAATATGTAGATGGTACTGAAGCTTATGCAAACCAAGAAAAGAACAACCTTATAACCAGGTTACACATGCAGAGTGAATGCATGCTCTCTGACTGGTATATATCCTGTTCAAGGACTCTGTTAAAATATTTCACCAATGCTTGCCACCGCGAGGAATAAACTGGTCCTGATTTAGTTACTTTTGTGAGATTGGTCTGAAAATCAGTCTCTATTCCGTATATATCTGCTGTGAGAGGACTGACCGCCCCCCTACGGGGTCACATCTGTGGTTAACAGTCACTCTGCTGTTGTCAATTTAGTGACTTTTCAAGCAAAAAAATAAATCTATATCAGCCGAAATCAGAATCTGTAGGTCAAGCTTTTTAGAGATCGGTCAGAAAACTGCAACTTGCGACACAACCTGTACTGTGAAGCTTTAATTAGCTTACAGTTAACTAAAAGTACAAGGTTCAGCTTCTTAGCAATACTAGATTGTTTAAATATAATGTAAGTATGAAAGTATTTGATTTTTTCATATTGTGTATTGCTGGTGTTCATCAGTAGCTTGGAAAAAAGGGAAGATATGCTGGTCCACTGAGCTGCATGACATCAGAAATAATAAAGATTGTTTAATACTGAAACGAGGAGCTACTATGTGCTCCTCGTGTATATATATATTTAGTAACATTATAAAGCGTGTCAGTCAAAGGAAGCATAAAAATGTCCTGGTGGGCATCAGTGCTGACTTTGGGTTTGAGAAAGCAAAGTAGATCAACACCAATCATTCTGTTTGAATGTTTTAACCATGTCAGGCTGGAATTGGTTCACACAGGTGTGTGCCTATGGATAAAAATGGCAGAAGTGAACTGCCTTGGAGAACCTAAACAAGGTCAAACATTTCTATGACAATGTAGGGCCTTACAATCCAAGCAGATTATAGTTTAGTTTGGACAGTAAAGCTAAATGGTGCTGTTTGTGTGTTTTGGCAGATGCCTGTAAACCTGTTGACTCTGTCTGATGAGGAGCGCCGCGCTCGCCAGAAGAGGAGGGAAGTGAAGAAGACCAAAACACAGACAACAGATCTGTATGAAGATGACTTTAAGGTGGACAGCTATAGCCACTTATGGAAAAAGAAATGACTTCTGTATTCACCAATGTAAAATTAAACAAAATAGTTAAAACTGTCAAACATAAAACTGGATGTGTTTATGTTGTGCCAGTATTTGGCAGAAGTACCACCTAGTGTCCTGATTCAGATGCCAGTGTGTGGTATCTATCTGAAAAATGTAAAGCTGATCTGTCTGATATTCTCGGACATGTTGCTGATTATCAGCAGGTTGTACTGAGCCATGTTGGTGGCAGTATTCCAACATTTCCAGCTCCTGGAGTCACCTTTAGTGGCTGTATATACATCCGCCTTCTGACATCACATCAACAACCTGTTTTATACAACATGATGAGAAATCACCATGTAAAAAATCACTATTTTGTTTAATATCTATAAGATTCTTAAAAGTAAAAACCTAGTGATGAAATGTTGTACATTAATGAGCTCATTAAAGGAGTAATTCCTTGCTGTGTTCAATTTAAATTAAAATATCCTATACTGATACAAAGGGGAAATGAAGAGTTTTATATTAATTCAGGTCTTATACCAGTGGGTAGGTTTAATGTGCAGGGGCATTATTAAAATGAAATCAGGAAATGTTTTCATTGACGCTTCACTGTGCTGCAGGGCTTTTCCTCGGCTCAGGGATAACGAGTACCCAGAGAGAACCCATGTCTGCTTTTTCATATAAAATGAAAAAGCTTCATTTCCTGGAAGGCACCATTAAGAATCTCAATTTTGGATAAAGATGTTCAACATCAGGAATTTTTCCCTCACTGGGTAATAAAACACATCAGGATTAAAAACTGATTTTGACTTAATGTTTTTCAAACGTTGCATTTCTGCTAAATGAAAATGTGCTGACGATTATTGGGACATGGGTTACTAGTTGGGAGTTGGTTGAATTGCAGCTTGTGTGATGTCAGCAGTTGTTTACCTTGTTGCCTTACAGCAAGGGGTGCTGCTTTGAGATTTTGGTCTGGGTGGAGATTGAAAACATGGGTTCTCTCTGGGTACTCTGGCTTCCTCCTGCAGTCTTAAACAAGTACCGATATATTAGGTGAATTACTATCCAAATATTGGCAATGAACCAGAATCGCTGGGTTCAGGGAATTTTTCCATGATTGTTTTGCCTCCTCAGGGGTCTGCAGTCTTCCCTATCAAATAAAGATCTAAAGATCTATTCTTGCCCTCAGTCCAGCTAAATAAAGTTATTTAGAGCTGCATATATCACATAGCTTTCTGAAAAAAAAGACAACTTACAAATATCTACTATATGAGATTTATTTGATGTGAAGAACATCTTTGACCCAATGACAAAAAATATATATAGACCCAAACTTAAAACAGCATAAAAGGCAAATTGTAGGAGATGAAAATATGTTTTTAGATTTAGTTTTTTAATTGTTTTTGTAAGGTTTTATGCAAATGTAGTGATAATATAAAACATATACTTTGCACTGTATACAGGTGTTGCACAAAAATTACATATTCACATTGTAATAATCTTCCCCAAAATAGTGTAAAAGTATGTAGTTATTTATTTTTCATTAATCTGGTACAGTGAATGACAGAGAGTTTTACAGATAACTTGCCTTGCCTCAGGTTTCCAGGTTGGAGTAGTTTGTTTAGCAAAATTTAGCAAATTTATGTTCTGACATTCCAAGACTAAATATGGTTCAGTCTTTACGTTTGGTAATAAAAGCTAGAAGAAAAATCAACTTTTGTAATTTTTTGTTTTGTTTGAAACAGAGGCTATTACAAAAATATAGTATATAATATTTTAGTCAGTGTCATTGTGTAATTGCGCCATTAAAACACTCACAAAACAAAAGACATACATAAATTGTATATCTACATTCTAAAACGTTAAATTATTATTCATCATTTAGTCTAAAGTGATTAAGCTATTACCAAAGATCCGGAGAGCCACTTTGCAGATCGCTGACCAGACGATGGACGGATTTCTATTCACACCTGTAGGGGGCAGCACTGTTTACCACTGGCCGAAGACATACGAGAAAGAGTTTCGTTGACCTTGCACCGCCACGGATCGCGATGGGTTACTGGGATGTTCCAGAGGGGACAGACTGCGTGGAGAAGACATGGATCGTCACTAAACTGAGCACAGCTCTGGGTAGGTATTAGACTGCAGACGGTGGTCTGGGGCCGGGAGCCGCTACGGGAAACAGCGCTTTAGCAGCTAGCTAAGCTAAGCTAATGGGCTTAAATGAACCAGGGTTGCTGGGTTCAGGGAATATGTACAATCAAGGTCTTTTTATGTAAAAGCTGGGTAATGGTTTCTGAACATATACCCATTACTGAGTGTTTCAGAGCTACAGAGATGCAATGGGATGTCCAGAACTCCGGGGTCAGTGATCCCCTGGAGCTCCTGATTCCAATGCTGGGTTTGAAAATGTTCTCCGAACAGAATGCAGGATGGATGTCGGTGTTCTGGCCCTCATTTCCAAACGGCAGTTGAAATTCTGATGGTCCAGTTTGCGTCCCCCATAGGCTTATTTGCAGCTTATTTGGCTGCAAATAAGCCACTTGCTGTGGCTGACAGGAAGTAGAACCCTGTTGCTTATCAACGTCAATAGCTGGTTCAGGCCCGGAGTGTTGAGTTCCAGTCCTCCAGGCTGGTGTCCTACATAGTCCCTGGTCCAACACTCCTGATCAGATGTCTGAATGACCTCATCAGCGTAAGGTTAAGTTTTGCAGCGTCCTGCTGATGACCTAGTTATTTCCTTCATGTGTGCTGGAGGTTCCAGCAGCCCTGTTCCTTGTCCTAAATGAACCCGTGATTGTGTGTTTCAGGTCTGATCGGCTCAGCCTATCACATTTTGGCATTTCAACCTGATACTGCATTGGAAGCAGTGCAGAGGGCTGCCGGTGCAACGGTTACAATGGGTAAGCTAATTAAAATATGCATATTCAAAAAATTTGAAATAACTTCAGATTGTTGTGAATAGTGTGTGCTGTAAATATTTTTGATTTCTGCTGTTTTGGTGGTTGTCAGACATAGTGATAGCAAGCATGGTGTTCCTGCTTCCTTAAAGTAATAAAAAGTACAAGGATATTGTTATACTTCCAAAATAGTTGTATATTAGGAGAATTAAGAATTAAAAATATATTTTTTTAAATTAAATTAGGGATTTTGAGTGTCTTGTGAAGTTATGCTTTTGTATTGATTTTACAAGTAAAGAAATCATCTTCTAAAATCAAACTATTAACAGGACTTTGAAACTTTGTTTTGAAGAATCACAGACTTCAGTTGGTCACTTCAGACCTCAATTCTGATCTGAAGTGATATATATTGAGCCAATATTGATATCTGGTATTAATATTGCTGTTATGATTGCTAATGCAATTTCTAGACATTTGTATTCCTTCCAGGGAAAATTGTCCTGATTTCCGGTCACCAGTAGATCTGAAACCCATGTTTTGTTGGCCATGAACATGCAGTCTTCAGTGCTTCAGATGAGGTTTTTAGCCTCAACATTGGCACAGATCTCAGAAAGTTCTTTGCTCACTGAGAAGTCACACATCATCTTGAAATGTAATTTCATTAATATTGGCTGCTTTGCATTTTCCAGCCTCTGTGGGAGCCATCTTCGGAATGACAACATGTCTCACTGCTCAGGCCCGAGAGGCTCCAGATGACCCACTGAATTATTTTGTCGGCGGCTGCGCCTCGGGCATCTTCCTGGGAGCCAGGAGTAAGTAATGCCTCTAACTGGAATGTTTGAATTCCACCAGGCTGCCTGTTGCTTTTCAGTCACCAAAGCTCTGTTAGGACAAAACTTCCATCTGATGTAGCGGGATATCTGGGAAAACAAATACATTTTCATACACTTAGATCTTTCACTTTACCCAGAACAGGAATATGTGAAACACTTTGAACTGCCTTGTTGCTGCAAAATGCGGTGTGTAGATAAAATTACCTTACCTTCATCCACATGAAAACTCAGTTTAATTTGACTTAAAATGATTATTTATAAAACAAAGTGGAATTTTGCAAAAATACTATTTGTCTTTGCATGTGTACATAGGGAAACGAAGATTTAGGCTCCAAAGCATAACAGTCTGCTTTATATCTACTTATTTTGTCATTATTTTTATTAGATTTATGTTCTTGTATGCTGTTTAAAAGTAGTTCAACCTATATATGTGTCCTCACAAATTAACCTCCTGACAGTATTTTTGGCTGACTGGAAGTCTTAGTTGTTCTGAAGCAATCTGATAGGTTACCATAAGCATTAGCTTTGCGCTGTACTGCCCCCTATTGGTTTGGCATGTTGGGGCTGATTGATGTGAGTTTGTCCATCAATCCATTTTCTGTACACCCTTGTCCTGAGTGGGGTCCGGAGGGGTGCCTGTGACTATCTCTTGCGAACGTCTCAGGCAAGATGGTGTGGGTTCCTGTAGATGAAAACTCTCCTGTGTGCATGATATTATTGTAAACCATGTGACAAAGATACTTGTTTGATGAAGACCCAACTACGAGTGCACAAAGCCTGAAATGACCTGAAGCAGGAATGGTACTCCATTAACAGCGGCAAACACAGGCTGAACATTGCAGGGACCTCATTTCATGTATGAGAAGACTAGAATTAAACACTTGTCTCAGAACTCAGTAGAGGCAGTAACTGAAAAAACTTTTTCTTTGTTTCTGAAAACAAAGAAAAAAGGTAATATTGATGTTGAGGAGATATTTTAGGTCATGTAAAATATTGAAGTCTGACGATGCTGCAGGGATTAGTGCAACTTCAACCGTCCTGCAGATGACAGTGATGTCACAGTAAACTCAAACGAGATCTTTTATCAGAGTGTTGAGTTTGTAGTTCAACAGCTCTCTAGTTCTTCTTTTTATCTTGATATTTTCACTCTGCTGGTCAAATTCCTATTGATAAAGACTAAACTGCTTATCATGCAGCTTTGCTCAATCAGTGTGAAAAATTAATTTTTGTTTCATATCAAACCTCCATGTTTTGATCATATCTTATTTTGACTGGCTTTAATGGAGCATAGCCAAAGGAGGATTTATTTAGGTTTTCTAACTTTGTGATGAACCTCCTGTGTTCACAAGCTGTCTGAGGTTAGGATGAAATGTGATTGGTTGATGAATGACTTGGTGGTCTCTGCTTCTCCACAGCCCACAATGCTATGACTGGTACAACAGGCTGCCTGGCTCTTGGAACGCTGGCCTTTTTTACTAAAGTTGGCAAAATGGAAGGATGGAAGCTCACCGGATCGCCCAAAGTGTAGGAAGGAGACTTTAACATTAAATATTGTAAAAAGACGTCATGTAATAAAATGCTTGTGAAAGTAAACTGAAGGCTGTTTCATTGTAACTGTATAAATGTAGAGGATGAACATGTAACATGATTAAGTATTAGCTGTTTAATATCCACTCTGTGTATAAACACAGTGGCTATAAAGACCCAACTTTGTGTGGACAAGTGACCCAAAGCAGGCTGGTTCACTAGTTTTATATATATAGTTTTCACTAGTTTTATATATATATATATATATATATATAATATATATATATATATATATATATATATATATATATATATATATATATATATATATATATATATATATATATATATGTATGAGCTGACTGGATAGCTCAATACATAAGGCATCAGTATATCACCCAAGAGGGCAGGGTTCGAATCCAGTCTGGGTCCTTAGGCAAGACCCTTCAAGCTACTGCCTACCTCATACCATGAGAGATACTATGAGAGATACTAAGTTGCATAACATGCCGGCTCAGACGTCGCCCGGCCAAACAAGGTCTGTTGGGGAACCAGAGCACCTTGATGACAAATGGGCTACTGGAACAAGACGGAAATGGGCGAGAGATGAAAATGTGGATCTGTTGGAATGCTACTACTCAAGTAACCCTAGTGAGAGAGGTTACATGCAAAGACTGGGGAAGGAATGGTTACTTCGACATCCCAGTCAACACTAAGCGCTAAACAACTAGTAGCTCAGTGTTCCAACATCCGCAAACGGCAACTGCTATCACAACTTGAGATTGACGAGATACAACACAAATGCTACGGCAAAAGGGAGGAACCCGGATGTCAGGACTGTGGGGACTTAACTACAAGTCCCCACCCAGTGAGGGGATACACGGCCCCAATGAGCGAAACAGAGCTGAACGAGACAGCTGCTGACCTGAGAGAGAGAATCATGACCCGAATGACAACCAGGCCTCCCCGGCGCCAATTACAACGGCTGAGTGAAGTACCATCTGAAAGTCTCATTGAGAATGTGAATGCAGCATTGAGAACGATCCCTACCAACACCATAACAGAAACCAATGAGCTGATCTACAACTCAGCATCAGTGATCCTTGAGATACTTGGCTATAAGAGCAACCATGAGACCCAATACCCACCATGGAAAAGACGGTTAGAGGCTAAAATCAAGGTAACAAGGAGGGAAGTGAGCCAACTGTCGGAGCTCCACAAGGGTGCAATGAAAAGACCAGTACCCAGAAAGTACAGGCAGATGCCCATACCAAACAGAGGCTCCAAGCCTTGTCCAGCCGCCTAAAGAGATACACAAGGGAGAATGAATCCAGAAGGATTAACCGGCTCTTCTCCACTCAACCAGCTAAGGTGTACTCTCAATGGCAGGGTAACAATAACAACAGAGCAGACCCACCAAGGCTGGAGACGGAACAATACTGGAAAGGCATATGGGAAAGGGAGGCGTCCCACAACAGCAATGCACAGTGGCTGATCTCTCTACGAGAGGACCACAGCAACCTCCCTGAGCAAGCCCCGGTAACCATCACTGTGACAGATGTCCAAGAAAGAGTCTCAGGTATGAAAAACTGGACAGCACCAGGGCCTGACATGATCCATGCCTACTGGCTAAAGAAACTCACTGCCCTCCATGAGCGACTGGCAGCCCAAATGAACCAGCTGCTACAAAGTGGGACTCACCCTGAATGGTTAACTGAAGGGCGGACAATCCTAATCCAGAAGGATCCATCAAAGGGTCCAGTCCCACCCAACTACCGACCAATAACCTGCCTCTCCACAACCTGGAAGCTCATGTCAGGCATCATAGCGGCCAAGATAAGCAAACACATGGATAAACACATGAGCACGGCACAGAAGGGTATCGGTGTAAATAGCAGAGGAGCCAAACACCAACTCCTCGTAGACCGCACAGTTGCCCGAGACTGCAAAACCCGACACACCAACCTGTGCATGGCTTGGATTGATTACAAGAAAGCCTATGACTCAATGCCGCATACTTGGATCATTGAATGCTTAGAGATGTATAACATCAACAGGACTCTGAGAGCCTTCATTGCAAACTCGATGAGGCTGTGGAAAACCACCCTTGAAGCCAACTGCAAACCACTTGCACAAGTGTCCATCAAATGTGGCATATACCAAGGAGATGCTCTGTCCCCGCTACTGTTCTGCATAGGCCTGAACCCCCTCAGCCAAGTTATCAACAAGACTGGCTACGGATACAGACTCAAAAATGGGGCCAATATCAGTCACCTACTCTACATGGATGACATCAAGCTGTACGCCAAGTGTGAGCGAAACATCGACTCACTGATCCACACCACCAGGATCTACAGCACTGACATTGGGATGTCATTCGGACTAGAGAAATGTGGTCGGCTGGTCACAAAGAGGGGGAAGGTCATCCACACAGAAGGGGTCTCACTCCCAGAAGGAACAATAGCAGACATAGAGGACAGTTACAAGTACCTAGGTATACCACAAGCAAATGGCAACCTCGATGAGGTCACAAGGAAAGGAGCCACAGCTAAATACCTCCAACGAATAAGGCAAGTCCTGAGAAGCCAGCTCAATGGCAAGAAAAATCCGTGCGATAAACAGCTATGCCTTGCCAGTAATCAGATACCCTGCTGGAATAATTAGCTGGCCAAAGGAGGAGATAAAAGCCACAGATATTAAGACCAGAAAGCTACTAACAATGCATGGAGGGTTCCATCCCAAATCCAGCACCCTGAGACTGTACACGAGCCGCAAGGAAGGAGGCAGAGGACTAGTGAGTGTGAGAACCACTGTCCAGGACGAAACAACTAAGATCCATAAATACATCAGGGACAAAGCCTCAACAGACAATGTGCTCAGTGAATGTCTCAGACAACAGGGAACGGAGGTTGAGGTGCCAGAGATACCATCATGGGAGGACAAACCCCTACATGGGATGTACCACCAGCAAATAACCCAAGTGGCTGATATCAGTAAATCCTACCAATGGCTGGAAAAAGCTGGACTCAAGGACAGCACAGAGGCCCTCATCCTGGCAGCCCAGGAACAGGCCCTAAACACCAGAGCAATAGAGGCCCAGATCTACCACACCAGACAAGACCCAAGGTGTAGGTTGTGCAAGTAGGCCCCTGAGACAGTCCAGCACATCACAGCAGGGTGCAAGATACTGGCAGGGAAAGCGTACATGGAGCGACATAACCAAGTGGCAGGCATAGTGTACAGAAACATCTGTGCAGAATATGGACTGGAAACCCCAAGATCAAAGTGGGAAACACCCCCAAAGGTGGTGGAGAACGCCAGAGCTAAGATCCTGTGGGACTTCCAGATCCAGACAGACAAAATGGTAATGGCGAACCAACCAGACATTGTCGTAGTGGATAAACATCAGAGGAAAGCCGTTGTGGTAGATGTAGCAATACCAAGTGATTGCAACATCAGGAAAAAGGAGCACGAGAAACTAGAGAAATACCAGGGCCTCAGGGAGGAACTGGAGAGGGCCTGGAAGGTGAAGACCACAGTGGTGCCTGTGGTCATCGGGGCCCTCGGGGCAGTAACCCCCAAACTGGAGCAGTGGCTACAACAGATCCCAGGAACAACATCAGACATCTCAGTCCAGAAATGTGCAGTCCTTGGCACAGCCAAGATACTGCGCAGAACCCTCAAGCTCCCAGGCCTCTGGTAGAGGACCCGAGCTCAGAGGATAAGAACCACCCGCGGTGGGTGAGAAGGGAATAAAAAATATATATATATATATATATAAAATCAAAATCAAGGTAACAAGGAGGGAAGTGAGCCAACTGTCAGAGCTCCACAAGGGTGCAATGAAAAGACCAGTACCCAGAAAGTACAGACAGATGCCCATACCTGAAGCACTCGAGACTGCCGAACAGAGGCTCCAAGCCTTGGCCAGCCGCCTAAAGAGATACACAAGGGAGAATGAATCCAGAAGGATTAACTGGCTCTTCTCCACTCAACCAGCTAAGGTGTACTCTCAATGGCAGGGTAATAACAACAGGCAGACCCACCAAGGCTGGAGACTGAACAATACTGGAAAGGCATATGGGAAAGGGAGGCGTCCCACAACAGCAATGCACAGTGGCTGATCTCTCTACGAGAGCAACCTCCCTGAGCAAGCCCCGGTAACCATCACTGTGACAGATGTCCAAGAAAGAGTCTCAGGTATGAAAAACTGGACAGCACCAGGGCCTGACATGATCCATGCCTACTGGCTAAAGAAACTCACTGCCCTCCATGAGCGACTGGCAGCCCAAATGAACCAGCTGCTACAAAGTGGGACTCACCCTGAATGGTTAACTGAAGGGCGGACAATCCTAATCCAGAAGGATCCATCAAAGGGTCCAGTCCCACCCAACTACCGACCAATAACCTGCCTGTCCACAACCTGGAAGCTCATGTCAGGCATCATAGCGGCCAAGATAAGCAAACACATGGATAAACACATGAGCACGGCACAGAAGGGTATCGGTGTAAATGCCAGAGGAGCCAAACACCAACTCCTCGTAGACCACACAGTTGCCCGAGACTGCAAAACCCGACACACCAACCTGTGCATGGCTTGGATTGATTACAAGAAAGCCTATGACTCAATGCCGCATACTTGGATCATTGAATGCTTAGAGATGTATAACATCAACAGGACTCTGAGAGCCTTCATTGCAAACTCGATGAGGCTGTGGAAAACCACCCTTGAAGCCAACTGCAAACCACTTGCACAAGTGTCCATCAAATGTGGCATATACCAAGGAGATGCTCTGTCCCCGCTACTGTTCTGCATAGGCCTGAACCCCCTCAGCCAAATCATAAACAAGACTGGCTACGGATACAGACTCAAAAATGGGGCCAATATCAGTCACCTACTCTACATGGATGACATCGACCTGTACGCCAAGTGTGAGCGAGACATCGACTCACTGATCCACACCACCAGGATCTACAGCACTGACATTGGGATGTCATTCGGACTAGAGAAATGTGGTCGGCTGGTCACAAAGAGGGGGAAGGTGATCCGCACAGAAGGGGTCTCA